TGCTCCTGGTCTCCGCTCCGATACGCGTTGTTCCTGGCAGGTTTCTTTTTTACTTTTTTTTTACTACCGAAAAATCCCAGTCCATCTCGCGCATTGTTGACGCGAAGTAAAAAAATTGACTAGCAATTTTCCCTCTAGCACTGCTGGTTGTGTTAGACCCACTTACACGCCGCCTCCCTGGTGGATCAGGACCATTGACTGTTTTGACAACGTGCGGATAAAAAGAAGTTCCCACACAACTCGATTTTCCTGGTGGGTGACCGTGGGGAATTCACGATCAAGCATCGCGACCTCAATCCTGACCTCTTTTCTGCAGTGGAGTCGAATCTTGTTCCTACACGCCCTACACCGCCGACCGTGGTCCCTTTGTTCCCCCTCGTGACTGTCCGCTGAATTGAGCTTCTTTGCTCTGACACGAGTTGCTTCGTTCCTCGAGAGAAATCCTTGGCGTCAAGTACCAGAGCAGGTCAATCGAAGACGAAAGAAACAGAAGGAGATTGGAAAAAACAAGGAGAAAAGAAAAAGGAATCATCGTCGAAGGAACGATCAGGATCCGAACCCAGGTCGTGGCATTGGCAAACTTTCTCGCGTCAATAGAAACATTTGCCTTTGATCCGAAGACAACCGGCGAAGAAAAAAAAAGACAGGGTTTTCCGTTCGACAATCAATGATTGGGATACCGTGATCGCTTCGTGTTCAGAATCAGCCCTACTTCTTCTACCCACCCCTCCTTCGCACACTCCCGTTTCATGATGGATCCTAGATCTCATCCATCCCGTCCCCCATCCACCAGCTTACCCCAAGGCTCCACGCCCCTCTCCTCGACACCTATCTCGAGTATGCCAATGCCCCAGTACACCATGCAGCCGCAGTACCCGGTGTCGCAGTCGCATACTCTGCCCCCGTTGCAGCCTCATCACAGTCAATCCCCTGCCCCTCATTCATACATGGGCCAGCCGCCGTACAGGCCGGATCTGTCGAGGTTTCCCACTACGACCCATGATGTCTACGCTTCTTCCACGGCCCCCATCATGCCTCATAACACCGTTGGCAGCTTGCCCCCGGCGTCGTTCCTCTCCCACCCCAACTCGCAGGCTCAGTCCTCGCAGCAGCACTACCCGCCTCCTCATAGCGTGCTGCCGCCTGCGTCGAGTGCCCAAACCTACCCCCAGCCGATCGCCCCCGCACCGCCGCGCGACCGTCGCCCGGATTTCTCCGGCATGCCGTCCGGCGCGTTTAGCTACTCGGACGGTAAGGGGTCGCCGTGGATGAATCCGGATCCGGTGACCGGGGCGAACGGCGCGTCGCCATATGGGGCCAAGGAATCGCCTCGCACGCAGGTGGTTGGGTCGCAGGGCCGTCGTGGTATCCTGCCGAGTGTCCCGGGACGCGCCACCCCCGTCACGAACGGTGTGAATGGAACCGCAAAGAGCACGACCATTCCCGCCAAGGATGCGGACGGCAAATTCCCGTGCCCGCACTGCAACAAGACTTATCTTCACGCGAAGCATCTTAAGCGCCATTTACTGCGGCGTGAGTATCAGCCTGTTCCCCCTTGAGTCTCCATTGCTTGATCCACTAACTCCGACCAGATACCGGAGATCGCCCGTACATGTGTGTGCTGTGCAAGGATACTTTCTCCCGGAGTGATATCCTGAAGCGCCACTTTCAGAAGTGCTCGCTGCGCCGTGGGAATCCCACCGGGGCGACCCACTTGTCGCATCCCCAAGCACACCTGAAGAGATCTCAAGCTGCAAACGCCGCCAAGCCGATCCAGGATGAAGTCAGCAGTTCCATCCCCCCTCCCAGCGGCCTTCCCGGCGCGACCTTCGGCGAGGGGCCCGTGAACGGAGCTGGTCTGGCGCCCGGTCGCCCCGGGTACGCGGATCAGCCCCCCATGGGCTTCTCGATGTCGTCGGTCAACGGAATGAGCCGCGCTCACCCGGACGATGGGTACAACGCAGGGCGGCCGGGAGGTCCGTGGTTGGCGGCTCCGAAGCACAACCCGTACCTCGTGCAGCCTGGCCCTGACGTGTCCGGTCAGCCCTTGAGTGTTGACCGTCCCTCCCTTGAACAGGTAAAGCCCCCGGTCATGGATCCCAAACGCCCTGTCATGCCAGGGCCCACTCCCAATCATACCGGCGAAATTGACTGGACTTCGATGTTTCAGCCCGGAACCCACGACGGCTACATGAATCCCGTCTTCCCCCACTCCATGGCAGCTGGCCACGAGCCTATCCATGCTCCCGTCGACGCGGACCGGAAGTACTATCCTACCACCTCTGCCGGGCCCCAGGAGGGCGGCATGAACGGTCTTTACTTAGCCTCGACTATGGGCGGTGACGGTATGTAAAATAACCCTGCTTCGCTTGGCATAGAGGGGGTTCACTGGCTAACGGGATAGGTACCATCCAACCTGCGCGGCAATAGTGGCGAGATGAAAGTGATGGATCGTTTAACTTGACTTGCCAGCGCGTGTGGTGAGGCATGTGTGATGATAGGTAACCTCCGTTGCCTGGTTGAGAGTCATGATCGCAAGGTCGATTGTCTTTACTTGTGCAATAGAGAAGTGTCTTGATTTCGCACATGCAACGCACTACCCGCACTCGGCGCGATGAGGTGACCGGATCCCGATTTCTTTCTTTCTTCTTTCTTCTTCATCGTTACGAAAAAAAGGGTTCCTTTTACAGGGTATTGGGTCCCTTCGACCCAAAATCGAGTCAGCATTTTTCCCCGGCGAGTTGCACTATTGCGGTGGTCCAGGATTTTTGTTTTTGTGTGCTTGTTTTTCCAACCATCATGAGTGCATCGATGGGTTGGGTGTGTGTGGTTAAACGGCGTCCCACCATAGACTTGGGCATGTTGATTTTTATTTCTTATTTTTTTTTTATCTTTCTTTTTCCTTGTTGTTTTCTACTGTGTTGATGATTACATTACAGTTTCTTTTTTGTTGTCTGCTGCATCTCTGCCCCGTGAGCCCCAGCGGTGGTTGTGGGAGAGCCTCCGTCGACGTTGATCCTATCCTTGTTTCTTGACAGCGACTGCATGTCGGTCGTCGGTCTGGAGCCGCCCGACCAGTGCGGGTTTGTACATGCACGCGGATGGCGCCTGTCGATTGATCTCTTCCCTTCTCCGTTCATGTAAGTACTCTGTGTGTTCTATTCGGACATATGCGTTTTGCTTCGAGGTGTTTTGCCGCATGTTTCGTTCCGTTGTTTTCATCATTATTTCTCTGTCTTTCCACCTGTGTCTTTAGACACTCGTCCTGTCTGTCATTCTCTCCGATTGACCAGGACCACCTGGTGATATCCCCACCAGGTTGACATCATGATTTCTACATGGTTTATGGTTGGGTTATGCGCCCAGCCCACCTGGTGGCATGCGATGGACCGGACTTGTCTCCGGTCCATCGCATGGGGTGTTGTTTTCATACGTCGGCTATCTGATTGTGTTCCGCCTCCTGTATTGTGTCAGTCTCGTGCATCTACGGTTTTATTATTTTCTGTCATTGATTTTTGCGGTGTGTTTCAAGCGTCACGAGGAGGAAGGGGAAAGAAAGGGAACGCCCGCGAAGGCCCGAAACCCAGGAAGTGTCAAAAGCTAGAATATAGACCTCGAGTTTAGGAGTTTTGTGATAATGAGGGAATGATTAGATTTGTTATTATACTGTGCTTGGTTGATCATCTGAATTTCATTAGTGTAGGCGCTGTAGGCACTTAAGGAAGGTGAGTCGGTCACATGGTTTGTGTTGACCGTGGACGGGGACCCGGGAATTCCCTAGAGAGAAGTTAGTTCGGGGCATGGGTTCTCCTTTGATGTGGATGTGGATGTGACGGAGTGGAGGTGGGGGCCTCAGATAATGACATAGCCCCAGTGTGGGGGAAAGCTGCCCATCGATCGCCAGTCAATCTACTCGTCCTATCAAACCGTCGATATTAGTATTGTTGCATTCATTCCACCAACTCAGTCTACACATACCACTTTAGACAGAGACAACCGACAGAATACAATCCATCTGATAGATCGAGAAATACCGACGTCACGACACAACCAGCAGGGTAAACGCGGAGAGTTGGTGATTGGCTGTCACAAGGCCCATGCCAACGGGAACCTTCGGGGAAAACGGAGAACGGGGAACGGAGAAAACTGCGGCTGCTCACTTTCTTCCGATCTCACCTCCTCTTCTATCTCGGTCTATCATATATCTCCAATGCTCGTCGTCTTCTCGACGTAACTCTGCCTAGATCCATCCGTGAGTCAGACACCGACGACACCACTACTGTTTCACATCCATCCACCAGATCAGTTCGTCTGTCCTATCTAGACAACGAACTGACCTAAATCAAATCAACATGACAACCAACCGCCCATTCCTCGCCAACTTCCTAGCGGCCTTCCGCGCCCAGTCAACCTACAAGACCTCAACGGCAGCCACACAATCAGCAGCAGGCCCCTCATCCCAGATCTCTCAAAGCGCCAGAGCGATAGCCACAAAGGCCGCTTCTGGCGCTGCGACCACCACCGCCCCGGACTCGTCGTCTTCCTCCTCAGCCACCACCACCACCACCACAAACGCAGCCACCGCAACCACCACCACAGCAGCTACAACTACACACCACTACCACCACCACCCTCACCATCATCCCCATCACCATCACCACCACCATCACCCCGCAACAGCAGGAGCAACACCCCCCTCCAGACCCAACTCCCACACCCGCACCCCACTCGACTCGCCCGTCCCAACGACAGCAACAACAGCATCCCCACCCCCTACCCCGGCAATCCCATCCTCCTCCTCATCCACCCCCATCCCCATCGCCAACACAAACACACACGACCGCCGCCGCCGCGGCAGCGACAGCTCCAGCGGCTCCGGTGGCGGCGGCGGCGGCTTCCGCGACGCGCTCGGCCCGGAGAAGTGGTACATCGGGGGCCGCACGCCTGGCGGGGAAGAGAGGTTCTACCGGCTCGGGATGGTCACGAAGGGTGGGGGGAGGCTTGGGGGGAGTGGGAGGGTGGGGAGTATTGATCAGTTGAGTTTGTGAGATGGGTTGTTTGATTTTACTTGTTTCTTTTTCCCCCTTTTTTGGGGAGTTAAAAATTGGGGGCGGTGTTAGAGAGGCATGGGTTTGGCGTTTGGGATTGTTTTTTTTGTCTGCCTTGTTAGTGGTGGTGTGTCGGTGCGTTGGTTGGTTGGTTTGCTTTGGACAGTGTGAGTGAGCGAGAGGGGAGTTTTCTGACAAAAGGAAATGGAGGGAAACGAAGAAAGAAAGAAAACATGTGCTTGTTCGGGTTTCTTCTCTTTCTTGTCATATTCTCGGTTCTCCCTGTTTATGTTTGTTTACTTTCTCTGTCTATCTCTAAACAGCGATTGTACATGATTTGATCGATGACAAGGCTGTATCTTTTTATTCTTATACATAACTGTGTATCTCATGTATGCATGCATGTATGTTGTGCATTGTGTTGCATGGGGTTTGGTACGGATTAGATTGGGTGTATTTGTATGAATCGATGTAGGTATGTGTGATTCCTATATTGCTGTTGTTGCTACAGCAGATAGACTTCTGTACTGTGTGTATCTAGGGTGGTGGTACGTTGGGAGAACGGTATCATGTAGTGCGAGGTGTACATGGACATTCGGTGTTTACTACTCGCCGTCATTCCTGTACTCTGATATCAGAGATTAATCATTATACATACATGTATAGATAGATACATAATAGACATCTAGACAAGACACTCAACCACGAAGCAACCCCTCCCTCTCCCCCTCCCCCTCCCCATCCCTCTCATCCGCAATTTCCTCCCTATCTCCCCTCGCACCACTCAACCACCCCATAGGAACAGCCGTCCCAGCCGCCAACACCCCCAAAGTCAACGACATAACCGGCCACCCAAACCGATGATCTATAAAACCCCCCCACATCGGACCCAAGAAAAGCCCCATAAACTGCGCCATCGTCTGCACGCCGAACGCCTGCGCCACGGCTCCCCTGGCGCCGAAGATGCCTGGCCGCGCGGCTTCCATCTCGTCGAGGACTTGTTGCGTTTCGACGTAGAGGGCGGGAAGGCATGCGTTCATGCAGAGCCCGGCGGCTGTGAGGAGAGAGAGGAGGAGGATTTTGTGTGCGGTTGTGTTGGAGTCGACGAGGCGGAGGGCGATTAGCGGGAGTGTGAGGAGGGTGAAGGAGAGGGTTGTTATAAGGCGCGTGCCGTAGCGGTCTGAGAGGGAGCCTTTTTTTTTTTTTTTGTTAGTGTTAGTTGGATTTGGGTTTGCGGTGTATGTTGGGGAAGGATTGATAGGCTGGGGTAATAGAATTGGGGGGGTATACCGAAGTAAGGCTCAAATAGTGCCGTAAATGCCGATGGGAGGAAAGACATTCCTGCCCCGAACGGCCCCCAGCCGAATCGCGTCTCGACGAAGATGGGAATGGCCTGGCCTGGTTAGTCACGTTCGCGATAGAGTTGTATGCATGGCTCACCGAGTCAAAAGCCGAGTAGAAGAGACCCTGGACTAGCAAGGCCCAACAAGAAATGAGCACCCGCGGTTGTTGCATAATCAGCCACAGAGCAGGTCGTCGTAGCTTTCCATTGCTTGGACTTGGTGGGGCTGGCTCCGCAAATGTCTGATAAGAGACCTGGCTTTGATGGGGTGAAGCCGGGGTCTCCCCATCTTCAGTGATCAAGTATCGCTCCGCAACTTTCTTTTCGATGACGGATACTCTCATCACGAGATCTACCCCGACGATGACAAACGCCATGGCGAACACGGCATGGTACCCTGCCACATCGTACACTAGCCCCCCTAGCAGCGGCCCAAGTAGAAAACCCAGCGCAACAGCCGAGCCCAGGTACCCGATGGTCTGGCCGAGATTGTCGAACGCCACCGAGTCAGCTAGCAGTGCGAGGCCCGCCACGGCTACCATGGCCGTTGCGCCGCCCTGGAGAATCCGGGCAAGGATGAAGAGCTGGATCGTGTGCGCGGCTGCTAGGATGCCCATCGAGGCGCCTAGAAGGATCAGACCCAGCAGATAGGGCAATTGACGGGTGGGAGCTGCGTCGATGATGTAGCCGAATATCGGACAGCAGATGAATGCCATGGCGGCTTCGCATACCAGGAGCACGCTCACCCAGTACTCTCCTGTCCATTGTCAGTTGTATTCTAGACATCAAAGAAGTGGGAAGAATTAGTGGGGTTGACGGACGATCTTCATATGGAACGTTGGCGCGATCGACTAGGGCTGTTGGCATGACGGGGACAATCTGGATGTTTAGTGGGTTTTCCAGAATCATGCCCTAGGTCATGAGGCGCTCACCATGGCGTAGAGAAAATATTCCTAGAAAGGTGAGCAGAGTGTCTGGCTGAAGTGAATGACTGTATAGTATAGTACTTACTGCAAATGACGATATCCAGACTGTAGCGATGATGAAAGCAGTCGAAGAACGGAAGCGCAGCAGCCATGGCGGGCGTTTTTGCTCAGCTGAGATAGCAGACCACATGTTGCTGTGCTGGAAAAGAGAATAGAACGTTCAATGAGGGATCTGGGTGAGTATATGATTGTCGAAGTATTCAATTTTGAGATGTGATTGAGTGGGGAGCTGAAGCCGGGCTGAGGTGAGGTGGATCCATCAAGACCACTAGTCGATGCGAGCGCTGCACAAGTCGAAATTGAACAAGGATCTAACTGGTACGATACGATCATTTCAGGGACAAGGTAGAGCCAGAATGGTGCGAATAGAAAGAATGCTGTACATACTACGAACTAAATAGCGTCAAGAGGGATCTTTGGCTGAGCATGACGACGTAGAGAGTGACTCAAGGATGCATGGCATAAAGATATGCTATGAAGCTGACATAATCATACAGATCCGGATGTCAGGCTAATCTCCGATAAGATAGCGACGGTGCGATAAGGAGGCCGCGGCCGTTTTCCACTCGCGGGCATCGGAGTTGGCCGATGGCCTTCATCCCCCCGGCACGCTTTATAAACGCCTGCTGCGCCGCCTGGATCCATTCACGATTTTGACCCCCTAGAAATCTCTCCTCGCCCGTAATCTTCGCTCAATCACTTTCCTCTTCTCCCCATAGTCCCCCTCCCACATCCACTTCACCATGCCTGAACTCGCCGCCGCCCGCTACGGAAAGGACAATGTCCGCGTCCTGAAAGTCCACAAGGACGAGAAGACCGGCATCCAGACCGTGGTGGAGATGACCGTCCAAGTCCTCCTCGAGGGCGACATCGAAACCTCGTATGTCTTTCCCTTCTTGTGAACAACGTGATAGGAGCTAATTGAACGGAAAGATACACCAAGGCCGACAACAGCGTGGTGGTTGCTACCGACAGTGTCAAGAACACCATCCACATCCTGGCGCGCCAGAACCCAGTAACTCCCCCCGAGCTGTTCGGCTCGATCCTGGGCACACACTTCATCACCAAGTACGCGCACATCCACGCCGCGCACACCAAGATCATCACGCACCGCTGGACGCGCATGACGATCGACGGCAAGCCGCACCCTCACTCGTTCATGCGCGACGGTGAGGAGAAGCGTAACGTCGAGGTGGACGTGGTCGAGGGCAAGGGCATTGACATCCGCTCTTCGCTGAGCAACCTGACTGTGCTGAAGAGCACCAATTCGCAGTTCTGGGGCTTCGTCCGCGACGAGTACACCACTCTCAAGGAGACCTGGGACCGCATCCTCAGCACGGATGTCGATGCCGCTTGGTGCTGGAAGCGCTTTTCGGGGCTCGACGAGGTCCGCGCCAATGTGCAGCACTTTGACGCTACCTGGGAGGCGGCCCGTGAGATCACCCTCAAGACCTTTGCTGAGGATAGCAGCGCCAGTGTTCAGAACACCATGTACAAGATGTCTGAGCAGATTCTGGCTCGCCAGGCTCTCGTCGAGACGGTTGAGTATGCGCTGCCTAACAAGCACTACTTTGAGATTAGTATGTCCCTCCTTCTCCTGTACGTCTGTAGGGCTTCGCTAATATGTGCAGACCTCGACTGGCACAAGGGCCTCCAGAACACGGGCAAGAACGCCCAGGTGTTCGCGCCGCAATCGGACCCCAACGGCTTGATCAAGTGCACGGTTGGTCGCTCGTCCAAGGCCAAGCTGTAGTCTCTTTGCAGTCCTTCGAAACATTCAAGCATCTCTTTCTGTTGTTGGAGTTTGGGCTGTATATACTATATAACAGCGGGACCGGTATCTCGCATTTCAATCACTTATTTTAATACACGAGTACTGTAGATGATATTGTGTAATCTAGTAGACACACGAAATTTCAGAAAAAAAACTCCCACCCATGCGCTAGCAGTAAGGTAAATAGTACATGATAATCAGACAAATATACAGAGAACATAGAAAACGTTTATGCGCTGGTCTTGGCCTCCTTCAGAGCCTGCTGCACTTCAGGCATGGACCCAATGACAGACGGCTGATGTCCCAACTTGATGATATTCTCCTTGTAAGGATGAGATACACCCTCGAAGGCTATGACAGAAAAAAAAAAGTTAGCATTATACCAAACCACATAATGACAAGCATCTGAGAAGGAAGACAAACTCTTCAACCGCGCCAGCCTCGGCTCCCGCAACCGGTTCTTGGGCAGCATACCACGCACCGCACGGCGCAGCACCTCACCACCACCCCATTTCTCAAACATCTTGTCCATGGTCATGCTGCGGAGGCTACCGGGCCGGGTGCTGTGCGTGTAGTACTTCTTCTGGAAACGCTTCTTGCCCGAGGTGCGCAGGTCGTGGCAGCCGACAGCTACGACGTAGTCGCCGCAGTCCGTGGACGGGTCGTAGATGGGCTTGTTCTTGCCCATGAGGAAGAGCGCGATCGAGGAAGCGATCCGACCCAGCGTGCGCTCGTCGGTGCCGACATCGATGTGGTGCCATGCGCGCGAGTACGCGAGGCGAGTCTATTCAAATGTTTTCTTTAGTTTTGGTCATGATTTTGGGCGATTGGTAGCAATGCGAGGGACTGGGATACCGACCTTGCCGACGGTTTGCGACATGTTGATGACGGGCCCAGGATGGGATGGGGTCAGTCAATCAAACGAAAAAAAGTTGAACAGTATCAAAAAGAAGGTAGAGGAGAATATCAAGGTGGGGCCAAAAGAGAGTCGTCCACCAACGTAGATAGTTACAGACCGCTCAGCTACTACCAGCAAATCCTCCCAACGCAGATGATGTCCAAACGGAGGTCCCAACTTTCTCCGGACAGCATCACGTGATACACGTGACACCTGGACAACCCTACTTCCCAAAGCAGACTAGCGCCCACCCGTGGGTTTTCGCTAAGCGAATCGCGCCCGCACGGAAAGATCACTGACTACAGACGTCGAAGGACGAACTTCTTTTTGATCGATAGCCTGCGACGACCAACGACACACTCCCCCCCGCCATCCGATCAACATGGCTTCCGTCCCGAGTGTGCAATGCTTCGGCAAGAAGAAGACGGGTGCGTTTGACCTTTTCACTTTTTTCCGCTGGTGATTTTGGTTATGGAGGGATTGTGAAATGCTAACTTGAGTTTTGGTATAGCCACCGCCGTCGCCCACTGCAAGGTATGCTCGATACTTCACCACCTGTTTTCTTCCCATCCTGCATGAGTGAAACGCCTGTCGAACGAGAGAGGGAAACCAAGAGAAAAAAAAAAAAAGAAGGGGACGAAGGAGAATTATATGGCTCCGGAGGGAAGGTTGCGAATGGCGACGGGATAGCCACGACAATACAACACACGAACAGCGTCTATTCAAGAGCAGTAACTAACGATCGAAACAGCAAGGCAAGGGTCTCATCAAGGTGAACGGCAAGCCCATCTCCCTGGTGCAGCCTGAGATCCTCCGCTTCAAGGTATGCATATCCACGCACTCCACACCAGACCCGGCACTTGCTCTCGACAAGAAGCAAAACAGAGAAGAAAAAAGGAACACAAAATAACTGGATATCTTCAAAATTAAAGGTCTACGAGCCCCTCCTCATCGTCGGTGCCGACAAGTTCGCCGGCGTCGACATCCGCATCCGCGTCTCGGGCGGTGGTCAGACCTCGCAGGTCTACGCCATCCGTCAGGCCATCGCCAAGTCCATCGTCGCCTACTACCAGAAGTTCGTCGATGAGCACTCCAAGAACCAGATCAAGCAGGCCTTCGCCCAGTACGACCGTACCCTCCTCGTCGCCGACAACCGTCGCCCGGAGCCCAAGAAGTTCGGTGGTCGCGGTGCCCGCGCCCGTTACCAGAAGTCTTACCGTTAAGGGTTTTCTTTTTGCTGCTCTCTTGGTCTCTCTGTCTTCGGGGCGCAGGGGTGGGGTTTTCTGGTCTTCTACTCCCTGTTTTCCGCCGTCTATTATCCCCATCGTCGGATCTCTCTACCCGTTAACCCTTTAACTGGGGGTTTCTCCCCCGGAGATGGAATAGAAACAAGAGAATTAGAGAATAATCTTTGACGGTTGCTTTGTTGGTGAACTGGGGGAGTGATTCGAGAACATAAAAAAAAGTGGAAAAAAGCTTTACTCGGTCCGCTGGCGATCATGGTTCGATGGTGCAATGGGGCAAGTGGATTTATGGTTATGGTCCGATCCTGGCTCGGTCTCGCCTGGTTTTAGTGTAGACCAGAATCTCAATATCACCCAATTTCTTACGTTCGGATTGATCTACTCGCTTTATGTGTTTACTGAAGCCAATTATATGATTTGATGTCTACTGCCTTTTTGCATGATATTGTATCGCCAAGGTACTATCTATGTATTATCGTAGCTTGTATAGCTGCCTCATGTACATCACATTGCTTATCTCCCACCTCGGATCCCGCCCATGCCCATCCCCACCGCACAAGGTTATTCCCACTGCTTTAAAACCATTCAAATACCGGACTCTCCTCTGAACCTGTCATTTGCCGTCTGTTGGAAACTGCACACAACAACAGAATCCAGCCCCCATGCGCTAAGTAATTCATGAAGGAAACAAATCCATCGAATAACAACCAAAGGGCATCTGGACAAAGAGTAACTAAGCAGAAGAAATGCGTCGGTCAGCCCAACCAGTGCCATCCAGAGAAAGCCCATGCATTCCATTCGAGACCCCGTCCTGATCGCTATCATCATCGTCCGCCTCCTCCATGGACAAAAGCTGGAATCGATTGGGAACAGCGGCTGGTTTCTTCACAGCCGCTTGCACCTCGCTCTTCGGCCCGGCCGGGGCTTTGACGAGCGGCCCGGTGCATTCGTCGGGTGTAAACCCAATGCGCATACCCTTGTATGTCAGTCTGGACATCATGCAGGACCGCGCGAATAGTGCGTTATGGATGGAATTGGTCGATATGTAGGCGTTTCCCAGTTTGAACGTAACCGTGATGACAATCAAGTTGTGAATATGGTCCAAGTCCCGACGGATATATTCCTCGGTGACGTTGGGCTTTACATTGTAGATGACCAGGTTCCGGGATGCCCCATTCTTGACCTTGGCGCGGACGTATGGAGGGAGGTAGAATTGGCGGTCGTTCCACAGTACCTCCGTCTGGGGATTGTTAGTGTAGCTCTTTTCATCCTCTCTGGGTTCAAAGTACTTACGCGTTTCCCACCGACGTAAAGACCGTACGTCTTGCAATGATTCAGGAACTCCTGTGCATCCGTCTCCTTCACAAATGACACGCTTGCCGAATGTTCTCGCGCCCGCAGATAGATGTGGAGAAGAGCACCGCCCCGCATAACATCTACAATATCTTTATGGGTGACCTTATCAGGTAAACCGCGGAGCAGAACCGTACGTTGATCTGCGGGCGAGGGAGAAGATTCTGTGCTTCTCGAAGATCCTCCATAATCGAAATTCTCATTGACTTCATGTGATCTCAGCAATACTTCATCATCATCTTCGTCGCTATTATCATCGTCGTCAAAACCGGCCTGTCTATAATTACCGGCGGAAGCGCCGCGCCTTTTTTCAGTCGGGCTCCCAGAGGTTTCACTGAGCGTCATTGGTTTCTCATGACCAGCCACGGAATTACAAGAGTCGGAACTGTCCACTGTGGGGCCCCCATAGGTCAACATCTGGAGACAGATCAGCCAACGTTACACATCAGGCAATAACGTTCCTTACATTTAGAGTCTCTGGCGAAAGGCCACCTTTCAACAGAGATTCTTTCAGTTTAGCTAGCAGAGGAGTTAGACGAGAGACATGGCAACGTGTACCCCGTCGACAGTGAGCGATCAGAGCACCTGGAGGGCCACGTACTGTACAGACGCGTCTCTTGCAACTGATTCAGAATTGATTAGACCGAATGGTAAGCTGCCGCTGAAATTGGGAGTCTAATGCTTACCAGATGTTCATATTCTGCATTGGCGATAGTAATCACGTCGGAGCTCACGTCTGAGGACGCATGGTTCTGAACGACCAGTTTGATCAGAGAGGAGCCACCTTGAGTGAGCTGCTTGACTTACAAATTCGGCCCTATGAGATGTTAGTCACATGTACCCAAAAAGTATATGGGGTGAAAAGGGGCGAGAAGCTCGCTGGAAACGACGTTGTTGAAAGATCGCAGCAATGCATAACATTCACACCCCGTACACAGTTCAGTCACAACCAGTGACATAGTATCGGGCACAGGCCAGCAGCTTACCGTTGGAGCAAATATTCGAAATGGGACTTTTCCACGGTAATATATGAAGCAGACATAGTGACCAGTGATCTGGAACAAGACAGAATCAGAAATGTCCAGCTAGAGAGAAGATAACAAGAACGATAATTGATAGGTCAAGGATAAATAGATACTTCCAAGGATCTAGCTCGAACTGTGGAGAGAGGGGGCGAGAGATCAATCCACTGAACTTACCCCAATCCAACGTGAGCTTTGTAAAGAGCCGCCACAGCTGATATGAGAGCAACAATATGAATCACGAGGGGAAGAGAGGAAGGAAAAACAGAAGGGAAAGAGGAAAAGGGGATAAAGTAGAAGAAACAGCGAGCGCGAGAGTTGAGAAGTGACAAGCGAACCAACACAACCCAATCGGAGCAAGCCTCGTGCCTCAGTTATTCTATCACTACCTGACCTGACCTGACCGAAACGTCCCTTCAATCATCACCCCACGTACGGACGCTGCAGGAGCGATCGAAACACTCTTTGTCATTTCTTCTCCAGGTCTTTCTTGCTTATACGAGACATCCTCCACTTGTCTTCAGGAGACCATCCTCCCGTACTCCAGCATACTACCTCCATCTGGGGATATAATGAGGACCGTTTACCGGTGGCGCTAGACAAGTCAGAGACCTCCTGCGCCATCTGAAATTTGCACTAATCTGGGCGGCGGTCATTCGTACCGCTGGCTTCAGCCTGAGAACAAACAACGCCAATCGATCAGTTCGTCAATTATTGAAGATCCACCGGGAATAGCCCTATGCGACGCAAGGGAGTGTTACGGCCTTTGGTTGATGGCGCCACATTAGGCACAAACATACCTGGAATTTTCTATACAATCTATATACAGTTCTTCTCTGTCTCACAACGGTCGAAATTTAGCTGCAGGCTTCCGCATTCCATGACAGAAAACGCCCAGAGATTAGACGCCCGCCCCACTCTGCTCAACTGGAGATGGGCACCCCCTGGCCTACAGCGTCACCCTCCTCGCGAGGGCTAAATGCGACCCTTATCCCTGAGCAAGGCATTTGGTTGATCGGCGGTTGATCCCTCGAGAATTGCGTGCGACTTTCTGGGACTTGCGTCCATCACCGATGCACGGCACGCAGAAGCGCGGTGGCAATCTGCGAACACAGATTCAAGTGCAGTCTTGCCTGATTCAAGTAGAAATCTAGTATGCCGCCTGGGGTTTGGTTTGACGTTGGAGTCGCTGACCGCCATCGATAGGGTGGTCCCTTGCTATCGGGCTGGACCCACTCATCCAGACGGAAGGGGGTTTAGGCATGGGGGGAAGGACACGCTTTTCCGTGAGGAAAATTGACGTAAAATATTCAAAAGTCCAATGCCAATCATCTTCAATCCGTAGTGTCGATCCCCAACACTTCTTGTAGGTTGATCCGTGTCTGTCTTTCGGCCTCAGTTTCCGGCCTCTCCGGCTGCTCGACCGGCCCAGGATGGGCTCTTAGCCGTCGAGAACGGACAATCTGGACGGCATTGACAAAGACCTGCGTTACGAAGATAGCCAAGAATACGCCCAAAACGACCGTCTGGGAAAGGTAGGTCTCGGATTTACGGTCCTGCGCTCGTGCTTCACGACCATCAGAGGTCCCTGAGTTTGCGGATCCAAACGAGATCGAAACCGACAAGGGAAACGGCGTAAACGACGTGAGGACGCTAACAGACGGCAAGGATTTGACCGACACCAATGGGCTCAATATCATAGGAAGAAAGCAGAAGATGACCAGAGGGACAGCCAGCCATAGAAGGGGCGTTAGAGACGGACGAGAGCGAGGGGCCCTTGAAAAAAAAAGGATCTTGTCAGCTAGGGGGAGACATTATGCAGAGTGATCGTACATACCATTCCCGGGACTCCAGTTTCCTCACCCACTTGGCAGTGATCTTCTGTCTTTCTCGCACGCTGGTAGTCGGTAAAAGCGCGTATTTCTCTTCTTCCCACACGGGCAAGACACTGGCAAACCACCAGGGAAACCGATCAGGATCGCTCGGCACATCTCCGTAGGCTAGTAGAACCCGTGGATGGAGCCACGGTGCGGCCTTGCCGCGTTGCTTGCGGACAAAGTCCAGCGCCAACTGGAACAGCTGCTGCGTCGACATGGACTCTAACGGCTTCTCCGTTGAGGTATCCTCCGCGGAGGGCGGTGCAACGGCCGATGACGTCTCTACAGCCTCCTGCCGCTCCTCCTCGGTGATCGAGACATCTTCTACGCGCTGGATGTCTCCCACATGGTAACCATCCACAACGGTCGACCTGGTCACCCTGAAGCGGGATACTCCCGTGGCAATGACAAGGCTCCTTCCGTCCGGAAGCAGCTCATACCGATCCACCACCAAGGCCGTGCCGTACTGCATGAAATGCGACCTCCCCAGCTCTGGCTGCACACGCCGCGCACGGTTGAGCATCACCATGCCGAACTTGCGCGACGGACTAAGCATCACCCTTCGCATCATGAGCCGATACCGGGGCTCAAAAACATGGAGGAAAGTCGGCATGTTCGGAAGAGACAGCGAGCTCACGAAGAGAGGCAGCTTCGTTTCCCCGTCCGTGTCCGCCGCCTCCAACGCTAGAGCTGCCCTCCGCTCAGCAAGCTGGTCCGGGAACAGGATTTCCAAGAGGGCGGCAATCCGCTGATTGAGGGGTTCTGACTCCAGCGAAGAAGCCATGTTCACCTTGCGCCGGCACACAGGACAGAGGTCGCTGTTGCTCCGCACCATGGCCACGCAGCTGCGACAAAACGTATGTCCACAGGGCGTGGTCAACGGGTCCACCATCAACGAGTAGCAAACCTGGCAGTCCAGCTCGCCCCGCACGGCCTCCTTCAGCCTCTGCAGAGACTCCTCGCCCCGGTCAATGTCCCCAAAACACTCATACTCAACCCCAGAAGCATCGTAGTCGAATTGGCCCCGTCGAACAAGGTCGTACATGCCCTCGAGGAGCCCTCGCCCCCCACTCAAACCCGTCACCGTCTTCTCCCGTAATTGCCCTCCTACGCCCGAATCCCACATCACCTTGTAGCCATCCCCGGATAAACGGCATGTGTCTGTGTCTGTGTCCGTGTCGGCCGGTAGCGGCCCACCGAGCACTCGTTCGAAGACATCCACCAATTTCGTCAACAAAACGTCGCTCCCACAGTCCCCCAAACAATGTTCTCCGTCGCACCCGGTCTCGTATTCCCAATAACATGTAAACCCGCGCTTTCGCTCCTCAATCGCGGGGTATGAGATGCCCGGGCGGTCGCGGATCGGCGGGAGGCAAGATCGGCATAGCGCGTTTCCGCAGGGCAGCCGTAGTGGCGCTTGAAGCGGTTGTGAACATCGCGGGCACTGGATCAGATGGACGATAGCGTGGGCGGAAGCGAGCGGCGTGCCGTCGGCGAGGTCAGGAGCGCATGTTGAGGCGGAGGAAGAGGAGACAGCGGTGGGAGAGCTTAGAGTCGGACTCGGGGCAATATTGTCTCTCCCGCTAGGTGGAGTATGCGGAGAAGCATCGTCATCGTCCATAGGGGGCGGTAAGGCAGACTGGGCATAGGATTCAATAATTGATTCACATGGACTAGGTTAGGTGAAGGATCGTTGACCCTTGTTGTAAGAAGTCGAGAGATTGGGAGAGAGGGTCGCCAAGGGGAAGGAGTAATTTAAATTAACGTAGCTTGATCTCTGGTCTAACGGGTTTCGATGCGAGACGGCGCGCACGGCCGATCGGTAGCAGACCAACTGGTACTACTATAAAAAGCAGTATATAATTAATTATATTGTCTATACTAACAACCACGTGGGATTTACAGTTATTTCATTTCATATCCTCTTGTTTCATCTATTTGAAAAAAGAAAAAAAAGAAAAAACCAAGAAAAATTTCTCAGGATTGATGCTTGCGCTATGCGGCTATATACAGTACACGTGTTGAATTAGGAACCCATCGCTCAAAAAGCCACCTTTCGAGCACTCAAAATCTTGAAAATGAAAGCCAAAGACAGTGGTATTGCTTGCTTTATTCCGTTTCACTATCCCCTACCATCCCCGGGCCTTGCTTTTGGACTTCTATTCGTCCAGGCAAATCCCCCCCGGGAGGCAGTGATGGGGAGAGCAATCGAAGATGCAGACAACGACAAACAAACATGCATAAAAAATCTCTCATTGCTCGTGACTAGACCACTCCGACGCCATACATACCAAATAGCCAAATATCAGGAAGAGAAACAGGTGGGACGACAGAATTCCCGCACGACTCGCAGAGTGCAGCACGGCAGGGTATATAGGGTAGATAATTGTTCTATTGTTCCGCCGAAGGTAGCCAATGGGTAAGGGAAAGATCAAAAATGAGCATAGTATCGTCAGTTGTAGAAAAAGATAGGGTGTTCTGATGCGGTCAACCCGAGCCTGAATCTTCAGAAGATGTTGCTCCTTCTGAGTCAACGTCGGATCCAGATTCGTCTTCGAGAACGATACGTCGCATAACGCTCTTGTCAAAAAGATCAAGGGCAAATCGCCGAGCAGGCAAGCGGAAATGATGACTTTCGAGGATACCGAGAGTCTTGCGGAACAGGTGGGGTTGGTGGAATCGATCTGGCCGTTTGGACTTCATGCTGCGGGTTTATAAAATTTAGTATTCGTCACTGTGATTGATCTCGTACAGAGTACTAACCTATGCAAATCGGCGGCCGCTCGCTTGGACAGTACCGTATTTCCCATATCGACAATGTGTTTGAGGATTTGTTGGTTCACCGGATCCGGATCAGAGGTTACGGCCTTGTATTTCTCTTGAGACAAGCGCTTCAAGTCTGGATTTCGGGAATGGGTAGGAAATTCGACCTGAGAAAGGGAGTTAGTACAATTGCTTCCCGAAGACGCCATATGTTCTCACCTTGAATAACTTGTTGAAATCATTGGGCAAACACAACCCCAACGAATTCCCGTGCTGGTCAACAGCCGAATCCCAGCCCAACGCTCGCAGGGCTCTGAGCCCATGCTGACTCCGGGAGATCAAACCGATCACGAAAAATGCCGTTCCTCGCATTGTCAAGACCTCCGAGCTCTCGGCCATTCTCACGATATGTTCGACTAGATCGGTCTCCAGGAAGGGTGCCCCCAGTTCCATTGACCCCACGTTACCGACTGCCCATAAACAGCCTTTGACTTTAAGAAGAGACTCCGTGTCTTGCTCGCCCAATTGGAAATCGCGGATGGTCCAGGCAAATTCGTTGAAATGGCCCGATTGTTCCAGAAGTCTGCATCCCTCTTTTGTCCGTGCAAGCTCTCGGTAAAAGTGAGGGGGTACGACCCCGACGTCTTGCATATCCACGAGGTCTTCAGGGACGAGGCTACCTCGCCGTGGTTGATCAACGTAAGCGCGTGACAGAGCGGCCTCTACCAATCCCACGTACGCATCATTTCGGCCAAGGAACCAATCGTCCATCTCTTGCGTGATATAGTCCAGACCATCTAGGTAATGGTAGCCCACCGAAGTCGACAAGAAACGTAGCAAGAGGGGGGCGCCAATCTCCCCTAAGTGATCCAAAGACGGCCTGCACTTGACCACAAACTCAAGATAGTCACGCTGATTGCAGGCCTCCTCTAGAATCTTCACAGCGATTTGGCACACAGAAACATCCGGATCATAAAGCTGGGTCACCAAAAATTTGACTACCCAATCTGCATTGCCAATGGCCATCTGTGGAGAAAGGGGAACATTTCGAACGGCGTACTTGCGGAGGAGTTTTGTTGCGAATATCCGAATCCCTTTGGAGCCAGTGGTAAGGGCTTTTGACAACATGACTCGAAGATGGCTTTCATGGGTGTAGTCGATGTTCCCAAGGAGAGTTTGAATCAGGTCATCCCGATCCCGAAGCTCAATAATGTGGTAGAACATGTTAAGCATGTGCCATCGTTCCATCATCGCGAGTCCGTTGGCCTCGCCACTCATAGTCCCTAACATGGCAAAGTACCCCCCACTCAGAGTGTTGGCCATCTGCTCTTTCGAGAATAGAGGCGATGACGAGGTTAGCCCACTCATGCGATCAACCTGTGCAAGACACTCTGCAACCTGTCTCAGAAACTTGTTTTCCTTCAGATATTTTGTCCCCTCGGGAGTCTGTATCAGAGTACGCATCAAGGCGCACCCTGTCCGGACATATCGCTGATTTGGCTTGGTGTTTGGGAGCATGGAAAATCTGTATTTGAAAGGTCTGTAGAAGCCAATGAGCCGTTTCATGAATTTTGAGCCTTTGATAGCCTCGTCTAACCGCTTTGGATTCGTAAGGGGCCCTTCCACGATACGGTGAATCAGGTCCCACTTCCACTTGAGGTAGTTGACTGTATTCAGCACGTGCGTCTCCAAGATGGCGTTGCGGAATTGCGTTTCATCCATGGTAGGGCTCAGTTTGTCCTTGTTCTGGTCACTGGAAAGAAGGGAGGCAGATATGTCGACATCCACACTGTACCGTCCAGCGTTGTGAAACCCTCCTAGAGAACGCGCCAATGTTCTGTTGATGCTCTCTATCTGGTAAATAGTTGATGTAGAAACGTCATGATTGTCAACATCGAAGTTGATGGCGGCCGGTATTAGGTGTGGAAGAACTTGCATTTTAGCACTTATGCGCGCCGGCAAAGAATGATGTGCTAGTTTCAAAACTTCTGTTAGGAGCAATGTGGCTTTTCGTCTTAGAGATAGATCTTTTTCATCCTCGATTAGATCAGAAAGAGCCTTGGTTAACCCAGCTTCTACCAGAGTCGCAAGGATAAGAGTTGAAAAATGGGCTGTCAGATCAAATTTGCTGTCTCCGCCCTCATGGTACGCCCGAAGCTGCCTTGCATCAGCTTCAGATTGGAGATTTGCGACTCTCCCGTATGTCGTAAGCCTCCGGCCAGCGAGGAAAGAAGAGGACCATGACGGTGGTTTTATTCGTAAGGCATCGAATAGCAGCTCCATGATCAGATCTCGCGTTTGGGAGTCTGGATAATGTAGGGAGTCTAGAAGTGACTGGAGGGGTTTTCCATGATTCCTTCCTAGAACCACCAATCCCGGCCAGGTCTTCAGCATTGCTGAAAGGGCCCTTGCGGCCGATTTCAAGCGCCCATTGCGAACGGAGTCTGCTAATGAGTCAGTGAAGGGTGCGAGAACAGCTTCGAGCTCGCACCCTCCCCGTAGGTGTTTCCGGGTGTGTGGCGTATCCAAGACATGCAGAAAGCTCGCTATCAGACTTTCCGAGGCCCCAAACGTCCCTTCCGATAGGGAGTCATGCAGTGTGCCCAATCCACCCGCATGCGCGATCAGCTCGGGGTCTTTGATCAGGATTTCGGCGAGAGTCATGATGGATATGTTTCGGAGACGATCTTCAGAGTTCTCGGCGACAGAAACAATACTCCTCACTACAGCGCGCGATATCTCGCGAATGCCATCTTTGACATCCAAGAAACCTCGTACAAACTTTAGGGCCTGTTCCCGCTCAATGCTTGCCTTGCTTTCCTTGGCAAGAGACAGTATCACCAGCTCGTCGGTGTGCAAAGATCGAATGGTTTGGAGAGACTTTCGATCCGCTATCGCATATCGGGTCAGCCGGTAGCCAGCTGCGACGACCTCTTTGTTGTCGCTCAAAAGCATGACTTGGACGCGCAAGCCAAACACAGACCATGCCAGATCATACTTCAGGGTCTGGTGTCGTTTGAAAAGCTCAACGAGACTATTGGCTCGTTCCACATAGTAGTCGGGTGACATGCCCTCAATCTCTAATGCTTGTAAGGTCTCTGCAAGAACATAGGTCGGCGACTCCATCTCTCCCTCTCCCTCTTCCAAACGAGCGTCATCGACAGTTGTATTGCTACGTGAGGGAGACCGTACGGAGCTGCCTCGGAACAACGTCGATAAGCGGCTTCGAGGGGGTGTGGATGGCGCCTGCGCACGTAATAATTCCTCCTCGAGTTCATGGCTCAGCTCCGCGAGTTTGCGATTCGACGAGCTTAACTCCGATTCCACCTTTAGTCGTTGGTCCTTCGTCTGTTTCGGATTTTTGGCCAGTAGCGCTTCAAGCATATTCTCCGTTCCCGTCTTTATCTTCATCTCCTTGGCGATCTTGTCCCGAATCGCCGCCTGTCGCTCCTCGGTCCCGGATAAGTCGTGGAAATCGAAGCTGTTGCTCCCCCTTCCTATAAACGTGCCATCGGGACGTGGAGTCGTGCTCCGGGAAGTCTTCATACTCTTGAGTTCAGAGCTGAAGCTTCCCGGTCCCGCTGACCCAGACGAAGGGGCCAAAGATGCTCCACCCCGGGGATTGATCGTTGTACTACCTCCGGATTCTGAGCGAGAGTTTCTCCCCGCCCTAGAGGCCGCTCCGGGCCAGCTGCCATCTGCAGAAGCATCATCTTGACTCGAGTATGACCGTCCATCGCCAACGCCACGGTGTTGGGTCGACGTTGTAGAGAACGTTGAATTATATCCGGACGCCATAAGTCTCCATCTAGCCGCAAAGCGATGATCGCCTATCACCTATCGCAAATATATCGAGTGGGCCGCATTGAGTGCGCGGACGGGGTAACGATCAACGCTAGAGACACACGAGAGTGGCTTCGAGAGTACAGATGTCGAGCGCTTGTTCAGGTCGATCGGTGCTAGTCGATGGCGGGCGGGCAGTTGAGAAGGGAGGGAGGGGAGGCAGATGGGCAGTGCACGCGGTCACCTAGCCTTGGGGTTCCAACAACAGGGAGCAGATGACTGTGGCTATCGGGGAGATCAAAGAAGGTCACATGTAGCACAGAGCATAGACAATGATCTGGTTACAAGAAGGATAAAATGATAAATGATCGGTTGTGAGCTATTCAATCCACCGCCGGTAGTTTGAGCCTTGATCGATCGATCGTTTGATCTCTCGGCCAGTATTGGCTGACTAACAATGCATGGCTTGTGGCCTCAGGCCGCCACGCCATACCGAGCCACTGCCAGCCACTGCCGGACGATACGTACACAGTACGAACATTAGATGGAAAGTCAAAGGCATTAGTGAATACTAGACAGGCATGTGAATATTATGTGGAAAGAGGTTGAGAAACAACTTGGGCTACAAGAAGATGGAGAGAAAAATATCCAATATATAAAACTATATACACAAATCAAAGAACTGAGCCAGCGTTTGTAGTATCCTGTATTGCTGTCATGCCAAGAAAGTCTTTCCTTTTGGCAATGTTCACCTCTTGAACAATAACTTGTTTGTCGAATTCTCCACTCGCCACTGGCCGCTCTATGACTTCCGGCTTTTTAGACCTCAAGAATCCGTATCGGTAGCTTGTTCGAGGCCCGAAGCAAGCCCTTTGTTTGCTCCATAGCAGCACAAGGACATATATAGCCCCCACCAGAGCGCAGATGATGGCATACACAATTGGTGAGGCCAATGGGATATCCGGATTCTTTGCCTGCGCATAATGGAAGCCTATTCCTCCGTTGACAATGCCAAAAGCGCAGAGAAAGCGCCCAAGCCAACGATGTGAGACGCCATAGAGAGTTTTCTCGCGGCTTCGACGAAACTTGACGTGCTGAATGATCCCAAGTATCGGCTGGATGATGACAACGCCGCCAATTGAAAGATATCCAAGGATAGGGTGGTAGCCTGCAAGGTCTTGGAGATCCTTTGAAACGGAGACTCCAAACATAAACCCAGCCAAGGCTAAAAGTACCGCAAACATCTGCAGAGGGGCATGGATCCAGGCGACAGTGTAACGGGTTGGAATAATATGGAGAAGAAGTCCGAAATTAGGGAAAAGAAGGACGAAAGCAACCGACGTCATAACACCATGAGCGATCCGCTTTTTGTGTAGAAGGGTGTCGCTTATCTGTTGCTGTTCTGGATTGAGAGTAAGGCGGGCGAAGGGCGGCGAAGAGTGAAAGAATGGGTTCGAAGAGTCACCCCCAACAGCTTTTTTCAAGTCGAACGTGAAGATACCATGCCAGTCATGCTGGTATATGGTTTCCGAAACGTTGCTGGATACCAACTGGGGCCCATGAGCCACAGCCCACACCCAAGAGCTACGGTTACTCAGTATATTCTTGCCATTGCCCAAGGTAGTGCAGTTATCACATCGCACGTTCGCCGTCAGTAAGCCATTGTAGACGCCAGACCCTTCGAGGAGAAAAGCCCGTATAGTTGGATCATAGGTAGGCGCAACGTGAGTGTTCGCTCTCCGAGGTGAAAGTGTCACATTCGTGTCAGAAGCAGAGTATATGACGAAAAGTTGCCCGTCGGTCATCTGGTTGCCGAGACCTAGGGCCGCCCATTTCAAATCCGCGGGCGCCTGTAACTGGAAGAAAATGGGGCCAGATCCCAACTGAAAAGTTGAGCTTGGAATATTGATACCATATGACACGCCTCCGCCTGCTGAAGGGGTATAGTTGATGATTTGTGCCAGTGCGGAAGGAACTAAACATATCCCGTGATCAGTATAAGGATCCAGATCATATCATGTGTACAACATACCTATTCCCAGATAGCAGAATGCAACAGATAGAAGGAGATACCAACCCATCATCGTGACAATGTTATGTTGCCCCGAGGATCCCAGTTGCTCGAAAGAAATTTCGATCCCTAGAGAGGAAAGAATGGCATGTGGCTTGACGTGTATGTAAGTGTATATAACGCAAAGTCTTGGACAACTTCGTTATATGCGCTGAATCGTCGGTGGTTTGGTAAAGAAATGCCAAGTATGTCAATACATGTGTCACGGGTACAGAAGTCAGTGAAAAAGTCCATCTAGCCGATGTTAGCTGATAAAAAGTGCTGGCGTGGCTTGCAGTAGGAATAACGCCCTTAATCAAACGAAGCCGGTGTCATATAGACATCTCAGGGCGAGACTGTCATGTTGGGTGAGAGTGACATTGTTCGACCGAGATATATCAACGTTGAAAGCGCGCATGACGGTTTGAGGTGAAGGGCGTGAAAAAGTGCCTGGAGTAGGGTTTATACATACTCATAACATAGGTCTTTAATTGCGCATCATTGTGCTGGGTATACTGTTTCCATATAAGCCATACGGTGGATCTGCATGGCAAACTCAGTAACGAGGACACTGAAGATCACTCGTTCGTGGAGAAGGTCAGCGATTGACGGCTGACAGCACAAGCCACAAGGCCGGCCCAGAAGGTGCTAAAGAGAACAGAGAATGACCGTCAAGCTCGTCAAGCACCTGGGACCCCAGTCACTGATCGAAAAAGTGTGGGATAAGTCAAATCCAGTAGCCCCACGAAGAAGACAAAAATGGTCAAAGTGATGGGCGTTGGGCCGGATAGATAGATGGATAGGTACTCCGCTGCCAGGCAAACGGGTACCTAAAGCTCAATTGATATTTCAGATCATTCATAGTGAAAATATTCGAGTGTCTTTCCACTTTTAATTAAAGCTCCTCTCCAACTGTCAATCATTTCTTGGGTCTAGTGGAACACCGAGGGACATCTAAACAGTGGATTGGTCAACATGGTCTGCGGTTTCAACTCGGCTGGGAGTCTGGAACAGCCAAGCAGTAGGAGCAGGGAAAGCCTAGAACCTAGTACATTAGGCAGTGAAGCCAAATTGAAGCACAGGAAGATAGCGAGTAAGTGACACTGGCCATTATCATCAACCTCGCACACCGATATCAAGTCGTAGTGCAAGGGAAGGAGTGGAAACGGAGCCCACAGCCGCTAGAAGATGTCAACCGCGCCAAGTCGTTTGGTGCTAATCAATCAGATTGCGCAGGCGACTAAAGTAAAAATAAATTTAATTAGTACCCCAATTTTAGGTTAACCAACACGTAATGGTACCTCTCTTCTGGTGACTTGATCCTTTTGCTTTGCTCCTACAGTTTTGCCTCTTGCTTTCTCGACCCACAGAGGCCTTCTGTTTTTTCTTTTACTTAAGAGTTTACTTGACTGGAGACATTGACTGGAGATCTCAAAGGATCATCCTGGTAGGTTCTTTACATGCCCCTCGCTAAAGCAGGACTACTAAACCCATACCTATAGTCTAGGGACCTAAATGATCCTTAGCGTCCATCGTACAGCGTATTTGCCAAAATGTGCGCTGATTCAGGCCAAGCCATCGGATCTCGGGAAGTATCATGACTCGCCAATCTAAATGGCCATCCTATTGACCACCACCCACATCCATGTTTTAATAGTGGATCCCCATTTTCCAAATACACCAATGGTATCTCTTTCCGCACGACTCTGGTTTTTGTGCTACTCGCCTTTATACGGTCCGAAGACGTATAGTCAGATGTTCGGTTCTAAGCCTGTGCCGAACAGTGGTTCCACATTGTTGGCTTTATCAATGATCTTCATGATGTGGGTTTTTCGTTCATGCTTTCCCAACTGCTCCCTCGTTCATTATTTCTATGGTGATAGGTAGTCACCATGTGCTGTATCATCCGTCAACATGGGTCCCCTATTCTATACATTGTCTCTATATGGACTGAGTGTGACATCCGGTCTTGAGCGAGGAAATTAGCACATTAGTCAATTATGCGGGCAAAACGGAGAACAATACTATGAAGTATGGGTATGCCACAGGGGAATGAAGAGACTGAAAGTACCACCAGAACCCCTGGTTCTACTTCCCTGATATGAAATTTGGCCCTGACCATGAAAAAATCCTGCCGAATACGCCAGTAGCATCCCAATTTGAAAGACTTCTGACGGATATAACCGATTTCCTTCGATGCAGAGCTATTTCTGAACTCTTCAAGGTAGCACCTGCGTCTCGGAAAGAGAGCAGAGTACAGAGTAAGTAGATTGCCTATTATGATTCTAGCCTGCCAACCGTATTTGTGGTAGCGTAGAAAGACTCCAGTATGCGGTCTGAAGGAACCTCAAGGATTATCCCCAAGTCTATCAAGCCATGATCACTTCTCCTGTTACTCTCTGGCCTTCAACGGCAGCTCGCAGGATGCTCCATTGGCTAGGATCCAATCCAATACAGACCAGACCAGTTTGAGCCCCAGAAGGGGGTTTTAGCGCAGTATATGGTGCTTCCCCAAACATTTAGCGCTCTTCTGTGACCAGCGAACTAGAGAGTATATGAGAGATCATATTTCTATGGGCGACCTAGCTATTGATCCTACTACGAAGTCGTTGTATGTGGCTTCGAGGACTCTTCGCCTCTTCTAAGTGTGCTCCTCACATCGTTTCACTATGCTTCAGATCTGTCTCAGCCATCTCCAAACATATTATTTCATGATGGGTCGGTGTCTCATAGTAATGAAGACGCGATTCCGCTCGGTTGGGAGTGTGATGAGAACCAAAACAAAGGCTGACATGGTCTCGAGATCCTCCTTGTCAATGAGTGACATATGCAGCGTGCGGCGTATGTCTTCTCATACTGAGGTATTTTACAATAGGTTGCTGGCCCCATGCCCTGTCTAGAAAAGGTGTCGCAGCCCGAGAGAAGTCAGTCAATTTCTTGGCTTCTCTATATCCCTACCTGTGTCCTTGTATTATAGCTCGAATTACATACTGCAGATCAGGGGAATAATTGTTGGCGAGTACAGACCTCAATGTTAGTGCTATCATTGGATCTATTGGATCTATGGAGTCTGGTAGTACTGCTGGTACTTAGTGTTTATGACTTTTAGGCAGTTGTCCAAACGAGGTGTAGATGCACGCTGTATAGACCTATTAATACATGATTCTAGATCATTGTTATAGTAAATCGCAATTTAGATTCATAGACCTTGCTGACTGAAACATTGGTCGTGCAGTGTTCTTCATGGATGTAGTTCATCAAGTTCATATGGTATGGTTACTAGAGCGGTTGGAAATGATTACTAAGACAGTTGTGCATTGCTTCCTGAGGCCACAGCCAAGTTCGCTTGAATCCGGCATGGGCCAATCTGGGCCAATCAGCGGCCAGACGGTGGATAGGGCACACACCACCAATTTTCTATCCAAGTCTCACGGGCAGAAGTCATTTTCTTCCTTTCCTTTCTCCATATTCCATTCCACGACAACCCAGCACAATGCCTCCCAAGAAAGCCCCTGCCGCCGCCAAGGAGAACGTCTCTCTCGGTCCTCTGGCCGGAGATGGTATGTACAACAAAATTGAAGCCCATTTGCGATTGTCGCGCATATCTAACGAATAATGGTTGACAGGCAAGCTCGTTTTCGGCGTTGCCCGCATCTTCGCCTCCTTCAACGATACCTTCGTCCACGTTACCGATCTGAGGTGCGTCAATTGAACTTCCTCGCTTCACGAACTCGATGCTTGTTCTGCTCGGTCGGAAGTCTGAGGTCATCACGAAATACAGAAGAATAGATGGCTGACGAATTTTGGTTGAACAGTGGTCGCGAAACCATCACCCGTGTCACCGGTGGTATGAAGGTCAAGGCTGACCGTGACGAGTCCTCGCCCTACGCTGCCATGTTGGCTGCCCAGGACGTTGCCGCTCGCTGCAAGGAGCTCGGCATCAACGCTCTGCACATCAAGATCCGTGCCACTGGTGGTATGTGCAAATCGAATCAGTCAAGAGAACAGAGAACGATAGATACTAATACTACTTTCCACAGGTAACGGCACCAAGACCCCCGGTCCCGGTGCCCAGTCCGCTCTCCGTGCCCTGGCCCGTGCCGGCATGAGAATCGGCCGTATCGAGGACGTGACCCCCACCCCCTCCGACTCTACCCGTCGCAAGGGTGGTCGCCGTGGTCGCCGTCTGTAGATATGTGCGAACGTGCTCTCTCTCCAAGTATACGCACCCTTATGGGGGCTTGCGTGGCTGGTATGGAGGCTGTCCGTATGGTCCTCAGCCTGCGGATGTGGATGGAATAAACGCGGAGAACGGCCTTTATCGCCTGGTCTTCAATTTTTTCCTTGCCCAAGAAAAAAAGATTTTACGCTCAGTGTTGGGGGTTGGTAGTGCAGTTAGTGTAACTACGCTGGTCAATATATACCCATGCTGGGGATTTTTTTTCTATCAATTGTAATCCTGTAATTGACTTGCTTGTTAATGGTCGCAGAATTGGGTCAAGTAGGAGTGACCACTCGTAGTCTACCGACTCGTAAAACGATAAACAATTATCTGATAGCGGGGTGACTTACGTGCTATTGAACATTGATAATAGATATATAATCATATTACTGCGAAATTCTGTCGCTGCCAGACGCTATATATATAATTTTCCGATTTTTTGGGCGACTGATATCGATTCGGTACAGATAGTGATAGCGAGCCGCCCCGCGATGTAGCTCATCAACTACAAAACTCTGACAACACCGACATCTCCTTCTACTTCGTTCATATTCTTGTCTATTTCACCTATAACGTATCCTAATCCCACTCACGCAATCGAGGGCAACTATCCTCAGCGGATGCCGAGTACCGCCCCCAACATCCACGCTCGCATCAAGCATTGACGTCAGGATCGATCGGAAACCCTATCTCCAATCCCAAATGGTCTAGAGAAGTCCTCGCCAACCGTCAACATAGTCGACTACTACGATCAGACGCCCGCTTCTGCTACCGTAGAAATAGTCGCCATGTCGTCGATGTCACCCTCCCCCACGATCCTTCTCCCCCACCTCCCACCAAAGACCCTCGTCGGCATCGACCTCATAACCTTCGCCTCGACCCCCAACTTCCACGGCATCCGCGATCTGCCACCCGGATGGCACTTCCTATACACAGGCACAACAGAGAGCCTGTCATTAAGATGCGGCTGGTGGTTCCACGTCGGCGAAAGCGAGGGCCTCGACGGCACAGTCATCTCGCCAAACGTGGGGCCAGAAGTGCTGATCTGGAAATGGGACACGAACACCGAATCGCTGGCGCCGATGACCGCCGCAACCGACGCAGATAGGCAGGAGGCGATGCGGTACAGGGCGAACCTGGGCGCCGTCTGGCAGGCGGGTGGCCTGTTTCGGTACCGCAGTCGCGTTCCGCTGTCGTCAGTGTTAGCGCGGGATCATGGCCCGGGGCGGCGGGCGCCGGAGGCGCAGAGATCGCAGGCTAGAGATGAAGCGAATGAGGAGGAGGGGAGAGATGATTGGTATGGTTTGACGGATAGGTTGTCGCCAGAGGTGTTGGCGCGGATTATCGGGGATGCTCAGTTGGATGTCAATGGTCAGCCGCGCTGGATGCTGACTTCGGCTAGTACGGCGCGGCAGGACAGTGATGATCTCTCGGGGCTTGTGGATTCGGCGCAGGCCTCTGATGGTCTGGCGGAGACGATCGAGAGGGAGGAAAGTGTGCTTTCGCTTCTTCCGGTTGACTTGAAAAAGACGTGGAGGGAGGGAGCGGTTGGACGAGAGAGAACTGAAGGCGCTCAGGACCGGTCCTGGGCTCTGGGAGATCTTATCGATCGGCTGTCTGAGAAGGACGGTGGAGGTGCCAGGACCGGAGAAGCGCAGGTGCTAGGCGAATTGCAGTTCACTTTCCTGATGGTCTTGACCCTGATGAACTACTCGTGTCTCCAGCAGTGGAAGAGGCTGCTTGAGTTGATCTTGACCTGTCAGAGTGCTATCAAAGACCGGGAGGTCTTTGTGCGGGATGTGCTCCGCCTGCTTTTGCTCCAGCTTAAACGGTCCGACGACGTCGATGGTGGACTTTTCGACCTTGACGGGGAAGAAGGGGGCAAGTTTCTTCGGAAGCTACTTATGAAGTTCCGGATATCCTTGTACGAGATTCTAGACGGCGTCAGCCCTGCGGTCAAGGCTGAGTTCGAGAGGCTCGAGGCATGGGTCAAGAATGAGTACGACTGGGAGCTGAACCGGGTTGCGTTTGTCCGGAAAGGAATCGTCCAACTGGAAGATGGGGAGGAGGTGGAATTGGACATGAACGAGGATGATGAAGATGACGAGACCGGAGAGTATGCTCCTCTCGTGGTGGATTTAGAAGAGACCACAGACGCACAGAGCTAACTAAGTGGCTCAAGTATTTACTCTACCTGAATAAAGATAACAAAAGCATATGATTGAATGAACCGATATATACTGTTCCCAGTTCGATGTAGGGTTTTGACCATCTATTTTGGTTATATATCTATTTGCTGATTAGATCCCTCTAAACCCAGCTTGGTATCTATTAATATCACTCGTCTTACACCCTCGTTAGATTTAGCACTCCTCCTCAATCACATAACCCCACTTGTGGTTCTCCTGGCCGTCCTTGCCGTACATGACAGCCTCGAGCCACGACTTGATCTGGGCAGCATATCCAGCCTGAGCAGCACCGGCTTCCAGCATGTCCATATCCACATCGCCATTCCGGATAAGTCTGACGGGGGTCACGAAGAACTGATTCTGTTAGTATGTCCGATCCTAAAAACCACGACTTCTATATTCATAAAGGGGAAAAACTCACAGCAGTACCGCAAACGAAGGCCTCAACAATGCGGCCCTCCTTCCACGCCTCCTCCACCTCACCGATGGTGAAATTGCGCTCGACCACCTCGATAGGGGCCAGGTTACCAACAGGCGCCACCAGCCGAGTGCGAGCCAGCTCAAGGACACTCCGGCGGGTGATACCCGCGAGAATCAGCTGATCCTCCAACGGCGCGGTGATCAGCTCCAGCTTGCCGGTCTCCTTGTTCTTCCAGACAATGAGGAAGTTGCTGGCGCCGGCCTCGGTGACCAGGCGCTTCTCACCAAACAGCCACAACACCTGGTCGAAGCCCAGAGCCTGAGCCTTGCCGTGGGCCTCGAGCGAGGGCCCGTAGTTGGCGCCCAGCTTGGCGTACCCGAATCCGCCGGGCCAGGCGCGGATCGCATCCGGCTGCGAGGCCAGCAGCTTCAGGCCGGGCTTGGCGTTGGGGGCCACGGGCTTCTGGGACGGGTCGGGCCAGGGCACGGCGACGATGAAGAGGAGGGCCTCCTTGGGCGTCTGGATGCCCATCTGGGTGCCGCTGCCGATCATAGTAGGGCGGATGTAGAGGAATCGACCGGGCTGGTTCTTGGGGAGCCATCCTATTGCGCAAATAACCGTGTTAGTCTTGATTTTCCTCTCTCACTCTCCGTTCAACTGTTCAGCACTGAATATGCGAATTGGGGCTACCTACGGGGTCCATCAATCTGCAGCATCTTGCCAATGAGGCGCTTCAGCTCCCCATACGCAAAACCGGGCAGGGATGTCCTCTTGGAGCTCATGACCAGTCTCTCTCCATTGCAGTCGGGGCGGAACAGGCGCAGCTTGCCGTCATAGCCGCGGTAGGCCTTCATGCCCTCGAAGCACTCGGTGGCATAGTGCAGGCACGACGCCGTCGGCGGGATGCTCAGGTTCTGATACGGCTTGACCTCGGGGGTCTCCCAGCCCTTCTCGGCGGTCCACCGCGCAGTGACCATGTGGTCCGTACAGTACGAGTGGCTTGATTCCTCGGGCGAGCCGGGCTGAGGAATCTCGCGGAGATTGGTCGACCGGGTGACATTGATGTTGGAGCCATCCAGCTCGGCGAGAGACGGCGCGACGGAGCCCATTTTGATGTGTATTTTTTTTTGGTGTGTTGGGATTGAATAAAATCGACCGATGCGGCGTGCAACTGGGATATTTCCGTATAAGTAGCTCCGGTCAATTGGCTCCGATGCCGCTGAGTCTTATGAGTCACAAAAGTCTACCGACAGAGAAACAAATTACAGAAGAAAAAAAAGGACCAAAGACAAATTACAAGGAGAACAACGCGGTTATATATGGAGTACTGGGACCCAATAATGCCGCCCCTGCCGATTGACCCGTTCCTACGGCTTGATCCAAAGAACTACGATGTGGCTCTATGTCCCCGGTTGAGGGGCGAATAAAAAAAAGTTTTCCGTCCCCGGAGCGGGTTTCACTCGGTGGGACTTTGCGCCATTGATATCCGAGCGATGTCCCCATGGAGAATACTCCTAATCCTTTTGTTTTTCTTTTCAAGGGAAATTGGATAATCACGTTCTGATCAAGGATGTCCCTGCTGGAAAAGGCCCTGGCATGCTAGTCCTCTATCCACACATTGTCCAGCCTCATTGCGGAATTGACATTCTGCCGTTCTGGGCTGTTCAAAAAAGAGAGCCACTACTAGCTATCGCCCCACCGCCTTTCATGTCATTATCGGCGGGGCACCGATGATAACCGCGCTTTCTCTGACTTACTTTCTTCTATCCACAGGTCTGGTTCTTTCTTATCTTTTGCTGGTACCGTTTTTTGTCGCAGAATGGACAGTGGCACTGCAATATCTAGTACACCCTGTGATTCTTGGGCTATTCGAATGCAGCATACTATCTTTCTCCGTCACATCAACTGCAGAACAACCGCAGTGACACGAAGACGCAGTATCACTGATGCAGACCTAAACCCTGCGCCGATCACTGCTTACTAGAAACTCAGCCGCCAGGAATCAATATAAAACCCAGACTTAATTGGTCCGCATATTATTCAGATCCAAGCCCAGATTAGAATCCATACCAGGGCACCGGCCTGCCTACACCACACCATCCTTCCCAAACACACATAAGCACGAGACAGAGTTGGTATTCCCACACATAATCATAATTGTATCGCATTAGACCTCGTCATCATAAAAATCCCGGACCGCATATGTACATGGACATGCGAGACCATTTCTCCAACCCACTCAACCAAAGATATATGCTAGTACCTGTACCGGGTGGAGTAGTCTTTGGGACTGACCACCAAACCACGGCCTTTCTTCGCGCCCCGGTAGATCGTCTCGATGATGTCGATGAGTTCTTGTTTGTCTTCTCTGTTTGAGGAATGATTATTGGTATGTTGTTCGTGTGGGACCAGTGGAAGATAGGCAGGTAACGAGGGGAGGTATCACTCACAGTAACCAATTTAACTTGTTATTGTTACCCGTTCCAAAATCACCTATGGAGACACGGAATGTTAGTCGGTTGACGAGTTATGAGAGATAGATAGAAACGAGGAGAGTCGCAACGCGGGGGGGAGCGTCCAGGGAAGGGAGAAGGGTGGGAACACATACACATCATGTGTTTATTGCGAAAGAAGAACTGCAAAGCAAAACAGAACCAGATTAGCAAGATATTCTTCAACCGCAGAGACTCCAGCTATTTGACAGCTATTTGATACACCTAGAGCCAAAAAGAAAAGACATACCATAATCGTCATCGGATCATAAAGCTCATACATCGAGTTAAAATCCGGCACCTCATCAATATCACACAGATAGATCACAGCGAACGACTTAACCTTCTCAGCAACCTTGGCCAGCACGTCGTCCTGCCGCAGGCAGTCCGGGTGGCCATCCTTGCCAAACCGGATGACGACCAGGCGCTCGCTCTCGCTGAGAATCGCCTGGTCCGTGTGCCACGCGGTGTGCAGGTGCGGAAGAACGATAGAGCCCATCTTGATGTGCTGATCTACCGGATGGAGAAGAACGAACGGACGTGGGCTAGCTGGCGCGTGGTGGGGTGAGAAGTGACTCGCTGGGTTTTTGTGGCGGCGGTCGCAACGCCGAGGATGGGGTAGCTTGCTTGTGTTTGCCTGAGGCAGAAAGTATTTGATTATTCACGCCTTTCAACTTTCTACATGTTTCTTCCGTTCTACTGCTGGCTCTGAAGTATTTCCATAACCTTGAATGAACCATTCAGTTCGATCCATCTCTCTTTGATATCTCCTTCTAGTGTCTACCCAAATTCTATTTAACATGCTTGCACCATCTGCTATCTTATACTCACCCTAAGCATCATGCTTTTCCGCAACCTCAATCTCCTTGGCCTTGGCCTTGACATCCTCGTCAATCATGTGCAGCAGTTCTGGGGATTTCACCATGTTATTGGCCAGCCTCACTGTTTCAAACACCGGCAAATCGCGCTGGAAGAGCTGCTCCAGGTTTTCCAGACTCTGACCCATGGTCTCAGGGTAGAACAGGAATGCGATGATAGGGAAGCAAAACGCAATCAGGGTATACACAATATAGTACTGATACCCAATACTGGCGAGCGCGACCGGCGTGATCATTTGCACGACGAAATTCCTATTCATGTTAGCCAAACGATTGTGAAACTGGAGCGGCCGCAGAATGCATACCATAGCCAATGATTGGCAGTCGAGATGGACGTCGTGGCCACACGGAGCCGGACGGGGGCAACCTCAGTGCAGTAGAGGAAGGACGTTCCTAGGAAGCCAATGGGGAAGAAGAAGTTGTACATGAAGATAAAAATCACACTGAACACCGACGCAGGTTTGTTCGTATTCGGGAAGCTGTTGGTAATGGCCAGACCCATCATGCACAAGGTCAGACCGACCCCCGTGAATATGAACAGTTTCCGGCGCCCGAACCGATCGATCGTGAAGAACGAGATGAAGGAAGCCATGAACTTCCACGTCAGTGCGCAGGCCGCTAGAATGCGCGAGAGATCGTGCGAAAGCCCCAGGTCTTGCTGGAAAATCGTCGTCACGTACGTGGAGATCACGTTCGCGCCTGTCATGTGGATGAAGAACTGGAGGCCCATACACAGCATGAAGCGGTAGAAGAGCTTGCCGTCTTTCATGGTGAATATATCCCGCGCTGTAGCGGCGCTGCCCGCAGTCTCTTCCAGAGAGAGTTCGATGGCTGCTACCTCCTGTCGGATTTCCGGGTCGTCGGCGGCACGGTTTTTGGTTTGGCCCAGGGCGCAGGCGGCTTTCTCGCGGCGGCCGACGCCCACAAGCCAGCGAGGCGATTCCGGGAAGAAAAAGATCGAGGTCACGAGGACGAGGGAGAAGGCACAAGGAATCGCCAAGGGGATTCGCCATGAGACGGAAGATGTCTCAATCTGGGAGAACCCGAAGTTGACCCATGTGGTCAGCGCATAACCACCGGTGATGAAGATGCCATCGACGACGACATGCTTTCCGCGGTTAATCGCCGGGGAACACTCAGACTGCCACACGGGGACAATGGTGCTCAAAATGCCCACGCCCGTCCCGATAATGATACGGCCCACGATTAACTGGGCCAGACTGAACGAAGTGCAGGATATGATCTCCCCGATGAGAGTGAGAAGACCCCCGATGAAGATGGTCTTGCGACGGCCGAGCCAGTCCCCGATGGCGGAGCAAGAGAGGGCCCCCACCAGCGCACCCAATGTGAAGCAAGACACGTAGACGCCCTGAATCACAGAGCTGTAGGAAGTCGCGCTCTCTGTGGTGGTCGAAGTATCGATTTCCGGGAATGTCTGGGTCCAGTTCTTGAACGATAATAGACCGCCGACGTTGACTTGATTGTAGCCGAAGAGCATAAAGCTGGGAAACACGACCAGCATGGTCTGCGCCAAACGGAGAGGCCTCCCCTGTAGAAACATGGTGCAGGGTCGCGGAGGAATAGAGCTATTAGTGTAAGACAAGGTTTAACAAGAAAATCCTGATCGTTGCTTGTCGAGTGTGCATGCTTTATATAGGCCAGCCCTCCGAGCAAGGCGCAAAAATCCAGTAGCGTCGATTTTGAATCAGGACCCCGAATTCAAACATATCCCCGCAATTCTCCTCTAGATACCCCGACATTTTGTGTGGGGATGAGAGCAGCCCTACGCTATTACCGACTTCGTTTGGATATCGGGGGCAGGATCCACTATGCTCGGATACTCATCACGTAGCCGAATGGAATGATTCCGCAGGTGTATACTCCGCAGTACCGTGCTGATGTCTACGGGCCGATGGGCATAGCCCAAGTTGAGACTATCGGTAAACCACTAGAAAGACTGTACAAACTTAGGAAAAGAGAAATGAAATGGAATGAGAAGAATGAAGACCTTGACTTCATGCCGTTAAGTTCTACAAAATCACCAGCTCATAAGCCATTGCGGCTATCTCGCCCCATACTTAAGCACAGAAAAGATAGAAAAAAAGAAAAAAAAAAAAAAAAAAAAAAAAACCAAGAGCCATCTGGTTTATACATCAAGGTTCGACGCTATCCGTTGGATTTACGTTAAATCCAAATAACCATTTCACTCGGACATTGTCCGCAAGGAACCGACGCGGGCTGCGCCGTAAATGACAGCCCGGGGAGCGGAATCGGGATCCATAATAGTACGGGAACCGCAATCCGTATTATGGATCCCGATTCCGCTCCCCCTGTGCCCACTCGGCCGAATTTAGACGGGATGTGCAGGGTCGTTACTTATAAATGATGGTAGGTGAAGCTGTTGGTTACGGTTGGATATCATGACCCTACCACTTGCCAATCAGTGTTTGGTCGAATTGTCAAGATAACTCTTGCTAACAGTTACTATTCCGATTCAACCATGGACTTGGCGGGTTAGTAACTCTAAGTTCAATATCTTCCATATCTGGGAGTAAAGGAAAGTTGTTAAACCAATCAAGTTGGTCTTTGTAGATGCTTTCAATGTTTTTTATACCTATTAAGGGACTACATAAATACCAACCTCCGGGTGATCCGTCGTCTATCATCCGTATGTACCTCAGCTTGCGTCTTTTTTCTGTCTTGGTGTGATTGGCTGACGCGAAATGATGGACAATTCACCCCCAGAGTAACTATGTAGGTATGTACGGAGACTGCATCGAAAAAAAACAATGTAGAAAGTAGTAAGACAGTCCTTACGTCACGGGCCAGCAACCTGTCAGCAGGGGCGTAGGATAGATGCAGTAGTCTTCATTAAAACTTAGGCTATCTCCAGATGCAAGGCGCATTTGCTGCCTTTGCCTGCTTCTTGAAGCATCTGACCCACTCCAAGGACCCCTGTAATTGGTACCAACTCCAGAACAAGTAACTGGGTACCTGATCCATAGCCATATCGCTGCGGATTTATCCCCCATGATATCAATGGATGGTTCGGAAAAAACCTCCCACAAACCATCACGGCCCATATTGACTTAGTGGGTAAGCCCGCACGGGGCGAGCTACCAATCAGAGAATGAGATTCTGTTCCACCGCAGCTTCATGGATGGCTGTCCATTGAACTTTCCCAGCCCATAAATTGCGTCCACCATGATTGGAGAGAGATGACGGATGTGGCCACACCACCGACTTGACTTCTATCCATCCATGGCTGCCGACCACAGCATGGTGGCTTTGGGCGAAACGTAAGCTATGAATAGATGACGTTACCACTGTCAGGAAGATCCACCAGCAACCACTGGAAAGCCAGACGGGGCTACTTCCCATGAGCTTACATCCGATACACTTTAAGTAAACCAGTTCTTGCTTCTAGATGGATAGTGGATGCGGGGGTTTCGCCTATTGGGTGTTGACAAGTTATGAATCGCTTTGTAGCTGCCAATTGGAACCGGATAAGACACCCATTGTTAATAAGCATGTCCAAATGGATTGATGTAAGATCGAGCAGATCCATAGGGATTGGAAGTAATGTCTTCTTACAGTACCAGGTGGACCGGCCGCTGAGTAGATGCCCGCAAGCATTCCATTGTTTGGCTCCCGGCGATCTCTTCCGCCTATTGAGTTTGGGTTCCTTTCTTTTTCCTCGCATGAGCTTCTCTTCCTTTTTCCTTTCTTGGTGTATATTTGACTTGGAATTTTCTTGGCCCTGGAATCCACCGCTCTGGTGGTTGACTTCCAAATGCCGTTCCTAAAACGCTGGAAAAAAAAAATCTGCCAATGCGAGGCGTCCTTCCATGAGACCCAAAGCAAGTATCGGTTTCGACGCGCAATCTTACCTCCTACCTTGACCAATAATTCCACTTGCCAATTAGTTAGACATCTCGTAGTGAGTCAGTGAGCTTTGATGTATTGTCAGCAGGTAACAGTAACAGACCATCGATACTCCACCTTATATCAGCACAGGAAGAGCTGAAGCTTGTATCCCTCAAAGTCTGTAGATGCGACCAAGTACGTTAACCCAGTGGCCAAACGATCGGGAGCGATGGAGAAAGGAGGGGACGGAAGAAAGAGCCAGCGAAACATGATGACAGAGGCAGACGCGCAGGAGCCGACATCCGACAACTTTGGATCGACCCATCAACCCGAATCGAGGTACATCGACTCGCCAGAAACATATCCATCCACTGGGACGCCTTTGTGTTCAATTCCAGTGGCCAAGAACCTAGCCAAAGCCGGTCTTAATGCCTGTCTGCTGCTCAAAGCTCATGACTGTTTAACCTATCGTCACGAATCTTAGTAGATTTTCAGATTGCTTTTCCCTTTTTTTTTTTTTACCCCTTAAATTTATTCATTCCTCCCTTTGTAACCGTTCATCTTGATCCTCCGATTGATATATTTATTGTGGTCCAAGATCCTTTTGAGAGAAAGGGGTCTTGTAGTATCTGACTGAGTTTTTCCGTCTGCCCCGACGATTCTTGAACTGCGGCTGTCTTACCCGCAGTCGAAATAATAGTCCTGTTGGTGGTGGTTGTTTTGATCGTCCGCCTTGAAACCTTTTGCCCGCCTTCGAAAATTTGCATTCGAGCCCACCCCCGAAGTCGAAGACTTTGCGATCCGGCCACCGGTTAGCGAGGCTCTCCGTTAGGTGAATGAGAGATGACAAGCTTCTTTAACTTCAAAGAGAGTCATCGAAATCTAGGTAAGTGCTGATCCCTGGCGAAAACATCGACCCCTCGGGCGTCGTGAGGTATTCTATTAGGCAGATTCTCAGCGTATTCGGTGCCGCCACGAATCCTCATCTGCCCGAAATTCAGCTGCCACGGTTTTCAACCTCTCGAGATTGTAATCCCTTGCCTCACACCTCAGTGGAATAGTGCGGAGTAACTAGGCGCAACTCCACGGGCCAGGCTGGCAGTGAGGCACTTTTCCTGCCTAGGTCTTGAGAAATTGATGCTGTTCAATATGACAACCAAAGAGCAGGACAAGTATCTTCCCCCGCTCGCACCGGGGCCCCACGGTCCCATTTCGCAGGGATCTGCCGCCATATCGAAACCAAGGAAAAATTCCACGGCTTGCCTGCCATGCAAGCAGGCAAAACGAAAGGTAAGAGATAGATAGGACAGGCGCTATTGGATTTTCTCGCCCCTTTCTGGGTATGGGACGATTCGTATATCACCCCAATAAACGAGGGAAGCGCAGAAAATCCAACTGCCCTCCCTTGTATTGAAATTCATACGAGACCGGTGGTAACCAGTGTACTGGCTTTCTTCGGCTCGCCTCATAGAATCGTCGGCTAATGATCTTTTGTCATAACAGTGCAGTGGACGCCCCGTCCCCTGCAAAGCTTGCCGAAACACGGACGCTGAATGCGTTTTCGATGAGACCCTCGACCTCAGACGTAAGGTGGCCGCCCGAAGAACTCTTGGGGAGTTGGGATACTATCGAGGTCTGCTACATTCACTTCTGGAAATGTTGCGGTCGTCAGACAACGATAAAATGCATCGTGTACTGGATATCATACGCCAGAGCGCTACGTTAAACACTATTGCCAGCGCTGTTGACGCGCCTGCCATCGACATTGGTGATGCTGGTCCTGATAATCCAGGAAGTGGCGGCACGTTGAACATGGACGATGCCATAGCTCAACACGAACGTCTCTGTGCTGACTCGCACTCGCGAATCACGGTGGAGAAACTCTGTGATATGCCCCTCCTCCAGGTCCTCGCTCGGCCTTGGACCACAGTCACAGATGACGACCATTTGATTTCACATTTGATTTCTCTGTACTTCACATGGGATCATCCAGTGTCGCAGATTATGGACCAGGGCATATTTTTGAATCATATGGCATCAGGTGATATTCAATCAGAATGTTGTAACCCCCTCCTTGTAAATAGCATCTTAGCACTGGCATGTGTATGTTATATTTTGCCCCAACAACTCCGGAAAGGCATCTTTTGACATTTGCTAGGCATATTCCGATTTCCCGGAGGTGTTCGCCATCCCTGGCGAAATGACCTCATGGGGCCAACATTTTTTCACAGAAGCAGAAAGATTATGGAGTGCTGAGGAAGGACAAAATTCACTGGCGAACATCCAGGCATTGGCAGTGATGAGTTTTTTGTAAGTGGCGTGCTTCAGATATCTGATCCTTTCGTTTCCCGCGGCTTTATCTGTTGTCTTGCACGACTAATTTGCCGCAGTTTGAAATTGCAGGGTAAAGACAATTTGTGCTGGCTCACGTTTCGACAAGCTGTGCAGTTAGCACGAGATCGCGGTTTGTTTCATGGTCCCGGATCAAGACATAGAAATTGGCGGCAAATGTCAAACGATGCCCTGCAAGCTAGCACAGCTACTACCTGGGGACTCTTTGCGATAAACACGTATGAGCCCTAGATATGCATGCTCTGCAGATAATAGCTGACTGTTTCTATAGCCAGCTGTCCATGGAATCAAGCAACGTCGCCGATCTTCCTTTACCCAGGGTTCGACTCTACCCAACTAGCCATCCCGACGAGAACATTCTATGGACACCGTATCCTCGCTCGAACCATATGGATTACGAACGAAAGCCTTCTTTGCTGCATTACACCATGATTGGCATGGCTGATTTGTCTGAAATCAATGTGCAGATTCAAGACTTGTTATTTGAAAAAGCATATGACTTGAGTGTTGAAGAGTTGTGGGGAGCGGCAGAAGCGCTTTATACCCGTCTTGGAATGTGGACCAGGGGCCTGCCTTCCGTCCTGAGCCCCGACGAACCGCAAATTCCACAGGTTTCGTTTCTGCAGTAAGAGCAACGACCCCGTAAGCCTCAATCGCGCACCTCGTCATTGACAGGTGGATTCAGTATTAGGTGTCGCCACATGACGATATTGCTGTTCGATTTTATGTCGAATGAGATGACCTTGAGGCGAGAATCGCATCATCCTCAGTTCGAACGAGCCCAGTCGCTTCAATTCCAAGCTGCAAGGGAAATTGCTAATTTTCTCCGCATCCACCGCGAATCTTACAGCTTGAGGCAGATACCGAGGCAGTTTCTCGACCCAACGAACAGCAGTGCCATCAGCCTTCTGACGGATTTAGATGTAGACAAATCCAAGGAAGCTTTCGTCGAGCTGTGTCGGTTTCTGGTGGCATTCAGCAAAAGGTATCTGCCAGCCAAAGCGATGCTCAAAAACATCGAAGCCATTGCCCAGCGCAAGATTGTCTCGTTTCCATCCGACGCTCTTGCGGTGATGGATCACCGAGAGCTGGAATCCTCCCAATGGCTGTGAATGGCAGCCAGTGCCCCCCGTGCGTCTCACTCTTGGCCATTTCTTGGGCCTTCGGGTTTTATCAAATCGCGACGATCGGAAAGTAGCCCTCGACAATACAGCACTCCTTATCTCTTATTGAACAGTCGGAATTTCGGAGGAGGGGTGGATGAGAGGTGCAGGGTCGATTGAGAAATGTCGCAGGCATAGATTCTAGGATCAGCATTATCCACAGAATATATCTAACATCCAGAAGCGAGTAACCACTGTGTGAGGACAGCCTCAGGGGCTTTCACAAGTGGCAGGCAACCGGGATGCTCGGGGTACCTGGAGCGCTGGGCAAGTGAGGGATTCTCCGTGGTTGCAGGCATCATGGTCCTTAGAAATATAAGACGGAGGTCCTTGCTATAGAAAAGAAAGAAATGAATTTTCCAGAATGGGGGGCAAGGAGACGACCGAGAAACCGCGTATGATTTGCCCGCAAAATATGACAGAGTAACGGGGTTGTCCCAAGGAATCATTCATCATAGACTTGCTTAGAGAATGTAAATACCTAACAGACTAACATTGGTAGTTGAAATCGGAGCGACTTTGCTACTATTACCTAGGGATGGTAACGAAGAGTGCTGGATGAAAAAGTTTGGTAAGGTGAACATCAGACCATTCAACTGCGGCTGGATAAGTTTTCCGGGGGCAGGGCCCACCCCCGAGATCCAGTCCACACGTATTCCATCCAAAACAGCGAAATCTAATGGATTTGGATTTCTTCTCCTGTTCTATGGAGTACATACAACCGAACTTGTCAGTTACACTAGTAGTCTTTCTGACTATGTTAATCATGACTGGCTACAAATGCAGTCGAGGTCTACCAGCCCATTCGAGGAAATCATCGCTACTCGAGTAGCCCCTAACTTGACTAACCCAGGAAGCGCTGACTGATCCCTCGGTGAATATTGCTTCTCTGATGCTGGCCATTTGCACTTGTAAGGTCTATGGGAATCCATTCCCGGACATCTGTGTTCCTTGAATCATATCATTTAGCATGCACTGTGCCATACTTATATGGCCTTTGATCGGACTACAGCTGATGCCTCCCCTTTTCGAATTGAGTTGGTCGAAGGGGTTAGCGCTTTTGCCGCTGGGCCAGTGATTGATCATGATATGACCACGGAGGTGCGGGTCCTGCTTGCGCAATGGATGAATATCGAGGGGGTCGGAAGGAACTTGCGGTATGTAGATAGATGATTCCAATTGGGTATCATCCACCCACAAGGCTCCAACTGAAGTACGATGTCTCTTTAAGAAGTTTCATGTTGTGCAGCATGTCGTGGATACCTATTAGATTGGTAAGCAAAATGTGCTTCTTGTGGCCCAGTCATGGGTGTACGGAGGACGACTCGTTGAGAGACAGCGACAATAACTCGCATATCCAACATACTCAACCATCTCATCTCAATGGATCTCTTGATTGTCGGACTAGCTACAAACCACGACCCCGATTTCCAAGCACAAGCGCCTAATTGTGAACATCTGCCACTGCCTGTGATGCTGCTAATCTGGGAAAAGCTGCCTCTGACAAGATATTAGAATAAATTTTATCTCCTACAGAATTTCCCCAAAGCACAGATGGAACTCCTACCCTGTACGAAGGTTCGGAGATACCGAGATGGTAGGGGAATCAGAGGAACAGATCTGTGATTCATTTGAAAGTGTAGCGAATGTCTGGAGTAAGACCTGATTTTCTCCGTCATTATGTCTTCTGTGGAATCAGCAGTGAATGCACTATGTATTGATTCTACCAGCGGCAGATAAACAACCAGCGCGTCGCAGTGAGTAAATTATGTAAGCTATCTAGGGTTTTTGGATAGCTGAAGGTTATTAGATGATGACGGAGCTAGACGTCAACAATCTTACAGATGTCAGTGCAATAACTCTATTCGTCTCGGTGTATGCTAGGCCATATCACCAGCTCCATACACGTGGATTTCAGATCTGCCCATCATGTCCTTGTTCGCGTCGAGACTTTTTGTCCCGGTTTTATCTATATTCCGAATGATTAGGTATCCCATCAGTGCTGTGTTCGGATTTGTCCGCAATTCTTTGCTTGGGTGGAAGCCTGCAAAGAGTGACGCTGAAGGGTTGCACCTGTCTTCACCGAGCCCCAACACTGTAAGTGCTAATATCATCGGCTCCTCAGGATTTCTTCTGATGAAAATAGGGTGGCCCCACAACTGCAGATGGCCTTCCCACTCATCCTGCCCACGTTGCAGTTGTAAAGATTCATCAGTATTATCCTCCCGGTGTCTCAGAGATTATCGGCCGCGGCGGTGGAAGTTACATTGGTCTTGTCGATGAGTCAACAGTACTGAAGTACCCGTGGATCCCTGGCGATCGTGAAAGGATTGAAATAGAGGCCAAGCTTCTCGCGGTCCTTGGAAATCATCCGCGAATCATCGCCTCGAAGGGTCTTAATGAGTATGGTCTGATGCTGCAGTATGCACCAAATGGAGACGTCTACAAACACATGACGTTGGAGCCTGTTGTTACTTTCGACCAAAAACTGCGTTGGTGCAAACAAGCCGCAGAAGCTGTCAAGTACATACATGAGAAAGGAATTATCCACTGTGATATCAGCCCTCGAAATTTCTTACTTGACGACAAGCTTGACATTTTACTCGCAGATTTCCAGGGGATTCTGAAGTCCAAACATGGCGAAATATTACTGTCCGGGCTGGCGCACGAAGATCCAAAGTCATGCATGCCCCGAATTGACAGTGATTTCGCAGATGTTAAGACGGACATTTTTGCGTTGGGATCTGCGATTTACTTCATGATGGTGGGCCATGAAGTCTTCCCGGAATTGGATAACGTGCAAGATGATGAGGAAATAGAATCTCGATTCCAAAGTGAATGTTTCCCTACTGATAGCCATGCATGCTCTAAGATCACAGATAAGTGCTGGAGGCAATTGTATGAGTCTGCGGAAGATGTAATTTTTGACATCTCTCAAGTCCAGGCATTGGAAGAAGCCGATAGTGAAACTCAGGGCAAATGATAGAATGCCATTAACAACTGTAGTTCAATATAACAACTCAAGAATCTGTGTCTTTCCTGCAAAAATCCTGTTTGCTCCAACACCTGTGTTCATCTATAGCACTGTCACAAACAACAAGATCCATAGGCGATATAAAGCAATTTGTACCGCGTCATTCGCATAAAGGACAGTTTCCTTTTCTTTTTACAGACAGCCCCAAGTGCTGGTCCTTGAATCCTTCGCAGTTTGGCTTGCCGCATGGCGGCTGGGAATAGTACGTTGTGATTATATGTTTTGGCTGCGCAGTGCATTTGAAAAACTTGGTCGTGCAGACAAATCGAGTACACATATTGTAGTCGAAGGATGCAGTTGCTCTGGTGTATACTGAGTTAGACCTCATGACATGACCTAAGAGGGTAATAGTAACATAATAAAGGCTTGACACCTACAGTGGTCTGACGTAATTAGAAGACTAGATGACTTGAGAGTTGTGAATATGAATAGAATTTGATGGATGGAAGTGATATATATTGCCAAATAAGAGATAATCGTATACTGTTTAAACACTGGTAGAACTGATGGATATCTTCAGTTGGCATGATTTCTGAGAACCTGCTGAACATGTAAAACAAGAATACATATGGAAAGAACATAGAAGGAAAGCATGCTTCAGGAAAGAATGAGTAAAGAAAGAACATATTCCATATGGGCATGGAAGACAGTCACCAAAAGATAACTAATTGACATCTAAGTGAATACAACTCGTAGTTACAAGTTTTAGATGTGTTATGGCATATCTCAAAGTGGTGGTACCTGAGCTAGAAAACCTGATGACTCGTAGAACTGTAAGTACCCATTTTGAATAAATAAAGAATAGGGAATTTATTAGTGATCTCTAGTAAATTGCTATTGTTACTTTCGCCATAGCATCACCCAAGAACAGAGATAATTACAGAATAGTCCAGAATGGTAACGCCGATGACTAGCTGGATGCCAAGAACTAATACCATTCATAGCTGACTAATTAGGTCAATTGTGCGCAGATAAGATAAGCACAAACAGTAGCAAGCGAAAACCCTCAAAATTCGACGCCCGCCGAAACACTCAAAATCCCACACGCCGACGCCAAGCCATCCACGCCCCGACGACGTGCCCATTTCACTTTCCACCTCTCCCCGCCGACCGAGTACAGCTCACCTTCCTATATCTTCCGACAAACCTTTATCCCCCCGTCATATCAACATGTCGTACGAAGAGCGCGCCAATGCGCGCCCTAATCTGGGCGATGACTCCGATGTGGAGGAAGAAGCGCTCGTGAATGACTACCGCGAGCAGGTCAACTTCGACGATAGTATGAGCGAGCTGGACCGGACGACGTCGCTGGGAGCTGGGTCGCAAACGCAAGACCTGCAGGCACAGCTTGCTGCTGCTGCGACCCCACTGGAGTACCAGGCCACCCTGGAGACCAAATTCGCGAGCTACGACAACTACTGCAGCCTGTTCCACTATATCCTCAACTCAGAAGGCCCTGTCGATCTGGAAGTCCCTTCTGTACGTTTTTCGGCGTTTCTCTCCCAGATTTGTAGCGGATGGCCCGGTTTTGTGCACGCCCGCTGGCCTTCCTGCAAATATAATCCGTTGTTGTTTGTTGCGAGTGTTGATTGCTGACTACTTCTTTGTCTTTCTCAACAGTACTACTGGGCTTGGGATGTGATTGACGAGTTCATCTACCAATTCGAGTCTTTCTGCCGCTACCGCAACCGCGTCGCTCGCAGCGGCTCCAACGAGGAGGAGGCACAACTTCTCCGAGAGAACCCGAACACGTGGGGCTGCTACTCGGTGCTCAACGTCCTCTACTCCCTGATTCAAAAGTCGCAGATCAATGAGCAGCTGGCGGCTATGAAGCGGGGTGAGGACCCCCTGGCCTATGCCGGCGAGTATGGCTCGCGCCCCCTGTACAAGATGCTGGGATACTTCTCGATCATCGGACTGCTGCGCGTCCACTGCTTGCTGGGTGACTTCAGCCTGGCCCTCAAGACGCTCGACGACATCGAGATGAACAAGAAGGCCATGTTCGCCCGCGTCATGGCGGCTCACTTCACCACCTACTACTACGTGGGTTTCTCGTACATGATGATGCGTCGCTATGCCGATGCCATCCGTATGTTCAGCCACATCCTGGTCTACGTGTCCCGGACCAAGAACTTCCAGAAGGGTGGTAACAGCTACGACGCCATCGCCAAGAAGAACGACCAGATGTATGCTCTGATCGCCATTTGCGTCGCCCTCCAGCCTACCCGTCTCGATGACACCATCCACTCCGCCCTCCGTGAGAAGTACGGCGAGCAGCTCCACCGTCTGCAGCAGGGCGGCCCCGAGGCCCTGCCCCTCTTCGAGGAGCTCTTCCGCTCCGCGTGCCCCAAGTTCATCAGCCCCACCCCGCCCGACTTCGATAACCCGGCTGTCAACGTCGACCCCGTCGACCACTACACCGGCATCTTCATGGATGAGATCAAGAACACCATCCACAACCCTACTATCCGGTCCTACCTCAAGCTCTACACCACCATGGATCTGAAGAAGTTGGCCGGCTTCCTGGAGGTCGAGCCCGAGAAGCTCCGCTCTTGGCTCCTGGTCAACAAGCAGCGCAGCCGCCAGGTCCGCTGGATCGAGGGTGGTCTTCTGGAGGGAGAGCCTGCCGTTGCCAACGACCTTGACTATGCTCTGGAGAGCGACCTCATCCACGTCAGTGAGACCAAGGCCGGTCGCCGCCTGGTCGACTGGTACCTGAGGAACCTGGCCCGTGTCTACTAGACGAAGCCTTTTTTTCTTTTGCGGGGAAAAAGGAAGGGAAGTATTCACTGGAGACCTCAGCATGAGACATGTGTTACGCCTGTATAAGGATCCGTGAGGTCCAGCCTCATAAGTAGAGGAACCAGAAAGGCACTATCAACAGTGGCTGCCTGGGTCGTCCACTGAAAAAGACGTTTGGGAAACCGCAGGTGCAGAAAGTGTCAGAAAGACAAGCCGCGGGGGAGAAAAAAAGTCGTTGGTAATTGTCATTTGGGAATCGGTATCATATTATTGCTTTTTTTTCCCCTTTTCTTCTTCCCTCTCCTAGCACCATCATGATTTTTCTTTTTTTCCTCTTTTTCTATTACTTCCTCCTGTTATGTTTCTTTGTCTATTTTCTATTTTGTTTCTATCTGTTTTGCAGGTTACCAATTATGATCTGCACTTGCTATGGGTTTGGAGTGGTTAGAATAAATCTTAAGGATTGTTAGGAGCTTACTCCCGGGTGCGCTTCGTTTACTCTGCTATTGTTCACCATGGGCTGTTGAGCTTTGCTACATGGCCTCCATAGCACCAAAAAGGATACACAAGCAGGTAGTATAGTTGAATTTAAATGATGAGATAGACGATAGCATTGACCGATTCCATCCGCCAAATATTATAATCACGACACCTCAACTGTGCTGAAAAAGAGGGGTATAGTATATTATTCTATCCTGCAATATTTAATCCCGAGTTACATGATATACAAGAAACTAAGCTAAGTCTTTAATCCTAGCAAACTGACGAGGTCTCCCAAATCAATCATTCACATCGAAACTGGTTCCGCAGCCACAGTTGCTCGTCGCACGCGGGTTATTGGCAATCGTGAACTGGCTGCCGATGAGTTCCATGGTGTAGTCGACCGTGCTTCCGGACAAGAGCTCCAGCGAGGGCTCGTCCATGACGACTTTGGCCTCGCCGGAACCGCCGTCCGCCGGTGACTCCGCTTCAAAGACGGTGTCCTCCTCGGCGTCGATTTTGGACTCGGGCTCCAGAGACATCATATACTGGAAGCCATGGCAGCCTCCGCTTGTGACGGTAATTCGAAGGTGGTGGTACGGGTTCTCTTCATTCGTTGCGGAGGGCGAGGATGAGGGATCTGATATTTCGCGAAGACGCTGCGAGATGTTAGTTTAAATGGGTGATCAATGTTTAAAAAATGTTGTAATGTAAGAAGTGAAAAGACAAAAAAAAAAAACAAGTCAAAAACAAAAACATACAACAGCCGGGATTCGCATGTGGTCACCCACCATACTACTAACCGGCCGGCGTGTGGCTTAAGTACGGCTGAGCGGACGGGAAGCCCTGTTCTCCACACCCTATGGTCGTATGTGATAGAAACAAGCAACATCTTCACTTTTGTGACCAGCTAGGGCTTTGCTTCCGGGCTTGCAACCAGCACCCGGCTTGTATGGCATCATGCCATTGCCACTGCCGGGTCTTACCGAGACCGCCCACCCCGCAACAGCATACCAAGCCACAGCCACAAAAAGAACGCGCATAGGCTTGACAAAAGGGAGATCAAGAAGATCAACGTACCTCCGTGGCCCGTTCGGATATATCAATCATCAGTGTATTTCCATCGTCATCTTTCCGCGGGTTCATGGCCACTTTGGTGGCGGGTCGGATGGTCGAAGCGGAAAAGCCGCGGCATTGGCGGAAAGCGTTCGAGGGAGGTAGAACATGGCGACGAGCAGTGATGCTATTCTTCGAATTCATGCGCAAGGAATATGAGCGTCGACTGGAGGCGTTATTACCGAAGGATGCTGAGAGGCAGGAAACCGGTCTACCCGGAGCGCGAGAGGCTGTCGTCGCGGTGCAGGCAGGTCGGGGGTGCGACAGCCGTCGCACGGCTGAGGATAGCATGGGACGAGACATGTCTAGATGAAAAAGACAGATATCTTTTCGAAAGGATGTATGATTCAAGAGATCCGGAGAGGAATCAACAGTCGAGAATTTGATGAAGTATTCGGATGATTATTGATGGGATTACATAACAAGGTACGTCTATCGGAGGTATCTACCTAACGCCATTGGACGGGGGAAGGCGGTCAGAAGAAGCAGAAAGATGATTCTCTCCGCCCGATGATCGCCGCGGGGATTGCCGCAGTCGGGCCAGTTCTACCATTTGCAAGCATGAAATCATGGCCAAGTATGCAGCAGTGCGGGGGTCTGGCCAAAGGTTTGTTAGATACTCAAGTTTTAGAAGCTAGTAGCAACAGTGATTTGATTGATGTTTCGATTATGTGTAGTAGCTAATGCACTGGAATGATGTTTATTTCGGTGGCCGTTTTGGGCAATTCGATGTTGAATCCAGGAATCTATTGCTATGCTCTCACGTCTCATGTAAGGATTCATCTACAGTAACACTTTTCTCCAGGTATGATAGATATGTCCATATACAATCTCGCCTCTGTCGCACACTGAGTATGAGTTAATGGACCTTGACGGCCGCGACAATCTGGAGGACTTATCACAAGATCTCATTTACTGACATAAACTCACCTGTATATTTGGCCTAATGAACAAATACAACAATACTGCCAAAGTCGCTCTTGGCCTGGGATATTGGTAATTAGGAATGAATTTATCTCCGCTTTATTTCGATTTGTAAGATATGCCCCGCGAAGTCACATATGCGGTCACCCAAGAGCAAAATACACTCGCTCCATGGGCTGCCTTTCTGACTCCCAAGCCAACCAATCGGACCTCGTAGTCCTAAATTACCATGTTAGCAAGTCACACACAGAGAATATGAAGATGGGACTGAGAAGCCCCATTGTAGAAAGAGGCTATCAGGAGAACATACGGCAACAATCCCATCGCGTTAACCTTCCATACCCCCAGAGCTAACAAGAGAAATTGCATAACCACGTAGAGTGCCTTGACCCCCAGAAGCTTGGCTCTCGTTCCGTCGGTTTCGAATTTGGCGAAAACCGAGTTTGTGTTGATCAAGCCTTGAATGGGACCCTTGAAGAGCATAAAGACCATCATGATACTGAAGATCTGGAGACTATTGCCGGACATATACATCATGATTCCATTCATAGGGAGCTGTTTGGAGGGCGCGAGAGCTATTTCCCAAGCCTTTTTCAACTTGAGAGTATCCGTCTCGACGGGCGGCTGGGGGGCGGTTGTTTGGGATTGTCGTTGTGCGCGCTGCAGGAGAGGATCGGGTTAGCTGGTTCTATGAAATGACAACTGAATTAGTAAAACAAATCATACATTCCGAGTTGTTTCTTTTCGGCTCGAGAAGCCAGGAGGGTTGGGGATGCTGTTGGCCGCCTTGGTCGCGCGTGGCATCGGGGTATTCATGGACACGGCCCAATGCGGCGGAGGCGGAGGAGGCAGGGGCCCTGAAGCCATGTTGAGTTGAGCAATGGAAGAAGTTGCCGGGAAAAAAGGCGACAAATAACGAAAATCGAACGAGTACAGGCTTCTGGAGGGATGGTGGATGCGGAGGACGATGGTGACCGAGGAGTCGGGAAATAAGGTCAGATCAGTTCCTCAGGCATGCGTAGTCGGTTTTCTCCACAAGCGCGCGGAGTTGGCGGCAACCCTGGTCCACTCTCCCTCCTAATCCGTTGCATCCAGGCCTCTGCCCTCTCCTTTTTCTCTCTTGGATCTTTACTTCACTCATTCACAGACATTACAGACCAGTTGATCAATTGCTACCATTTACCGTCATCAATCGCAAATTTGGTAGGCTCCACCATATTGGAAATGTTGGCTCCATGCTGATGATACAAGTGTACTCCCCTAAGGTATGGAGGCGAAGACGACGAGCTAAGGAACGAATCCGTCAAGCTTCGAGAGCTATACAAACGACTCTTCCAATCGCCCACTACGACGTCGCATGTGATCTGTTCTCTCGAAGGGAACTTTCCTAGATTTGGCAAACCTCGCATATTCCACAACCCGAAGAACTGGACACTATTCGTCACTTGTCACTCCACCATTTCCGATCATGAGTTCCAGCGGGGGCGATGCGAAGTTGTTCGCAAGGGTATGTGCGAGCCCTGCATTTCCCCGCCCCCCCCCCCCATAATTGGACATTGATTGGCATATCATTCAAGATGACGTTCAAGCCCTTCATCCTTCATATTTCTTATCCCCTCATTTTGATGCGTTTGAGCCCCCGCGACCGACCTTGTCTTACCCCTCACGCTGATCGCTTTAACCTTGCGATGCCCTGTCTTATGTCCTGTCGTCTTTTGTATTCTTTACTGCACACTACACCCCATGAGCGTGGTTCACTTTGCATCTGATACAGCCCCCCATGTTTATCGGCATGTTACCCTATACGGCGCATTATGGCTCACCATTCACTCGTTCTACACAGGGGAAAGTCGCGGAACTGCGCCAAGAGCTCAACTCAGGGGGTAAGAAGGACAAAAATTACTCAGCCAAGAAAATTGCCCTGAAGAAGATTGTCGCCAATATGACCATGAGCAACAACGATATGGTTGCGTTGTTTCCGGATGTGATCGGCTGCATGAATTTGCCCAGCCTGGAGATCAAGAAGATGTATGTTGAAGACAGGTGTTTCGTACCGCGCGAGGAATGTTTGCTGATCTGTATCGCGTTTGTTACAGGTGCTTCTTGTTTCTGGTGAACTATTCAAGAATCAAACCTGAAATTGCGCTGAAGGCGCTCCCTATCCTGGTCAACGTACGGCGATAGCCCCACAAATAACAGATGGCGTGTCGGATTTGCTGACCTTTATACATAGGACATGGAAGATTCAAACCCACTAGTGCGCGCTCTGGCGCTACGGACCATATCTTACATTCACGTCCGGGAGTTCGTCGAGGCGACAGTCCAGCCCGTTAAGCGCTTAATGGGAGACCAGGACCCATATGTCCGGAAAACAGCTGCTTTTTGCATTGCCAAACTTTACGAACATGATAAGAAAATGGTTGAGGCGTCGGATCTGATCGATCGACTCAACAGTATGCTGAGGGATGAAAACCCGACAGTTGTCTCCAGTGTTCTTGCGTCTCTCGTGGATATCTGGGGAAGGAGTGAGACCATCTCTTTGACTATTGACTACACCAGTGCGTCGAAGCTGGTCTCGATATTGCCAGATTGCTCAGAGTATGTCCTTCTTTTTGGGCTCTACGTCTACTTATCTAACGCATTATAGATGGGGTCAAACCTACATTCTCGAGGCCTTGATGTCATATGTCCCCCAGGATTCTGCCGAGTCACTTCTATTAGCAGAGCGCATAGCCCCTCGTCTATCTCACTCCAATTCCGCCGTTGTCCTCACCTCCATCCGTGTCATTCTCTATCTTATGAACTACATCGCCGATGAAAGACACATCACCTCACTAGCGAAGAAGTTGTCACCGCCTCTGGTCACGCTCTTATCCAAGCCACCCGAGGTGCAATATTTGGCACTACGGAATGCGATTTTAATTCTGCAGAAGAGACCCGAAGTGTTGCGCAATGACATCCGAGTGTTTTTCTGCAACTACAATGACCCCATTTATGTCAAAGTGACGAAGCTGGAATTGATCTTCATGTTGACAACTAAGGAGAATATCTCGGTGGTCCTAGCAGAATTGAGGGAGTAAGCTGGATCCAACCCCCGTTCCTGAACTCTATATTCCTGCTTGAAGCTAACGAAACTCATAGGTACGCCACAGAAATTGACGTTCATTTCGTGCGCAAGGCCGTTCGTGCCATCGGAAAGCTCGCCATTAAAATCGAGTCCGCAGCTCGACAGTGCATCGACTGCCTCCTCGAGCTCGTCAGCGCCAAAATTCCCTACATTGTCCAGGAAGCTACTGTCGTCATTCGCAACATCTTCCGCAAGTATCCCAACCAATACGAAGGCATTATTGGGCATGTCATCCAGAACATAGACGACTTGGACGAGCCCGAAGCAAAGGCCGCTATCATCTGGATCATTGGACAGTACGCGGATCGCATTGAGAACTCGGACGGCCTCCTGCAAGATTATCTGGCTACTTTCCACGACGAGACTGTCGAAGTTCAGCTGGCTCTCCTCACCGCAACCGTCAAGTTCTTCATCCAGCGACCAACCAAGGGCCAACAGCTCGTCCCGCAGGTCCTCAAGTGGTGCACCGAGGAGACAGACGACCCCGACCTCCGCGACAGAGGTTACATGTACTGGCGCCTGCTGTCCACGGACCCGACCACCGCCCGCCAGGTCATCATGGGCCAAAAACCACCTATCAGCGCGGAAAGTGAAAAGCTGGATTCGCGTACCCTCGAAGAGCTCTGCCTCAACATCGGCACCCTAGCCACCGTATACCTAAAACCAGTACAGCAAGTCTTCCGCGCGGCGCGCACACGACGCCTCCAGTTCAGTCCCGCCCTGCAAAGACCCAAGGACGAAAACGGCAACAGCGCCATGTGGCAGTTCCCGCCGTCCCCATCGGTCGTCGCAAAGCTCCCCGCCGCCGGCGCCGCAGCAACAGGCACTCCAGTCTCCAACACGCCGTCTCCCATCTCCCCAACCAGCAGCACCACAGGCCCCATCCCAGGAAACATGAACGCCGCCGTCAACGCAGCAGACAGCTACTTCAACGGCGTCGGCACCCAGCAAATGGCAGCGTTAGACCTCGGCGGCCGCAGCGACGGAGGAGCCGGCGGCGGCGGCGCGTCGCAGACACAATACGTCGTCAACCAGAACCAGCAGCAGATTTACCAGCCTCAGCTGGCAGGCGGGGCAGCTACGGGCGAGCTGTTACTATTATAGGTACGGATAGTGTGTATTATATTGAAAAATTCTCCCTTGATATTCCGTTTGGTTGGGTTGTTAACTTTCCGCGGGCCCCTTAGCGATACTTGTCGCCGACTTTGTGATACCTCTTTTGACTTGTAATTTTCATCTTCATCTTTTTTTTTTTTTTCTTCTTTCATCACATACAACACAACATTGTACTGTCTGTGTAAAAGCACTCCAGTTTGTTCGTTTGTTTGTCTGGTTGACCTACTACTCATCTATATTTCCCCCCCTTTTCTTCTCTTCTATTTTCATATTCTCTTCTTTTTTTTTTCTCTCTTGTTTATGTCTAGAATACTGTCTGTAATGTTTTAACCTGCATTTTGGTTGAGCATCATAACAAAGCATCTTCTTACCTATGGACTACTACATATCCAAATACTATTCTTCAACTGTGAAAGGCAAATTCAATCAATTTTACTTCGTACTAAGTGCACATTCATCGAGAGAAGTAATAAAGCAATGTAAATATACAATTTTTGCAAGCGCACTATCAATTTACTACATAGAAGACAATAATATGTCGCAAAGGTACTCAGATGCGAAAGCCCCTCAAGAGCCAAATAACGCCAGATATCGCCCGTAATGCAATCATATCAAAGTAGCAGGGAACGATGAAAAAAGAATGAGATTAATCTTCCTCCATCCGGGCCAGTCCGCCGCGACTACGCTTCAGCCTCTCATCTAAACTGTCCTCCTGCAGCTGGCGATGAAGCCCACTCATGAACTGACCACGTTCCGAACGGTGTTTCTCGTCTTCGGTGCGTTGTTTCTCCTCCATGCGTGTGACGTCGGCGACGCGCTGTCGACGAGTCTCTTCCAGTTCGGACGCACTGGACATCATTTCCGCAAGCTTGCGTTTGCGTTCTTCCTCTTGTTCTTTTGCCCTTGAGTTGTCGATATCTCCAGGTCCCTTGTTTCTGCTGTAGTTGTTGTTGTTGTTGTTGTTGTCGTTGTTGTTGGGCGCACGGCTGTCGCGAGGGTAGGAATGTCTCGGCCCATCTCTGTAGTCTCTCCTGTTATTATCGCGGTATGACCTTTCGCGACGGTCTGGGTGGTCTCTGTCGTCCGAACGCCGTCTATCGGAGTCGACCTTGCCCGGGCGAGGAGACGGCGATCGCGAATCCTGACGAGCAGAAGAACGGTGATGGTGACGAGGCCGGCTGTCACGATCCTCATGTCTGCTGGGATAGTGACTCCGCCGATCTCCGTGGTCGCGATCACGATCACGATCGTCCCGATGCCGACGATGCGACGACCGTTCCGGCTCAGCAGGAGACCTAGAGCGATGCCGACGATGCGACGACCTCTCCCCTTCAACAGGGGACCTAGACCGATGTCGCCGATGCCGACGCCGCGACTCATAATCACCCTCATCGCTATACCTCCGACTGCGCCTATGACCCCCCTCCCTCTCCCTCTCCCTCCGCCTCTCCCTCCCGCCGCTGCCCTCCCCCTCCCTCCTCTTCTCCCTCTCCTGCTTCCTCACCGTCTCCTTAACCATACTCTCATAAGCAGCCTGCTCCCTCTTCCTAATCTCCAACAACGGATCCGCCATAACCTTACTCATCGTATCCCTCGCATTCACAGCCGGCGCCTGCTCCACCTCGCCGGTCCCATGATGCGCCGCAACCAAATCCGCCCCCTTCTCCAACTTCTTTGTCTCATCACCCTTCAGCAGGATCCCATCAATGCGGCGCTTCCCCAGTAGATAGCCCTCCATTTCCTCAGAGTAGTGGCCCGTGGCGCTCGACGGCGCCTGGTACATCCAGTCGACGCGGTGCTGTTGGCGGCCCTTGCCCGAGTCGTCTTGCAGACGCTGGAGTTCTTGGATTTGCCGCTCTTCGTCGCGTTCGCGTCGGAGTTGGTCGACTTTCTTGCGCTCGTCCAGCGCGCGCTTTTCTTCTTGCCATACGCGCTCTTGGTTGCGGATGAGCGAGGGGTGCCATGATCTGGGGGGCGGAGAGTGGTTAGCTTGGTTTTGGAGACGGAGAGTCGACGGGATGGGGGGTGGGGGGAGGATGAATCGATGGGAGAAAAGATGGGGATGGAACTTACTTCTTCAAGTTGAGATCGCCACCCATCTTGACGTTGGTCTGTATAGATGGTCTGCGAGAATCAAAGGTGTGGTCGAATGGAGAGGAGAGATGGCGGGCGAGAAGTCGTTCCCGATGGGGAAGTTGCCACGGCCGACCGAGTGGCCTAGCGGAACTTGTTCGCTGCCTGACTGGACAGGCACCAACGCCTCTCCTCGAATTCTACCTCCAGGCCTGAACCTATTGAGTATCTACTTATTTTGTTCTATTGGTCAAATACTGAATCTTCTTGTAAGACAGTCTCAAGGTTTCATGCAACAGCTATGTGCGAAGACAGCAAGCTATACGACTCGGAATGGAGAGCGTCAGTAGATACATAGATAATTAAAATACAGCAGATACAATAACCGTTGGAAGGGAAGCTCGACATTCAACGACTCAAACTGTCTCCCGAAAAGTCAAAGTTCGTTCATGCGCCATGTAAGATATAAATAAAATGTACCAGAGTTAAATCATTTACTCATCTTCAATTCTCACATCGAAATATTCATAAGACTTTCTTGCGAAGGCATATGAACACAAAGCGAGACGGGGGAACAAGAGGAAGAAGAAGAAAAAAAGGAGAATAAAATGCACAACGGCCTACCACATGATCCTTCGTCACTGTGTTCATCGTCGTGGATAGCGAGCGTCTGCTGTTGAACTTCCTCGTGGGGTTTGGTTCACCCGCGGGTTCTTTTCTCTATTTATCCCAGCCAACCCAGCTGCGGGGCATCACTCGCCAAACCTTGCACTCGCCACTGCGAAGATCGGAGAGCTTGAAGCTTTCGATCTTGACTTTCTTGCTCTCGCGACCTTGCTCCCACGCACGGATCTTTTTCTTGGTTCCATCCCAATCCACGACAACGCCTACGTGGTCAGGCTTGCCGACCTCGGAGCTGTACTTCTGGTGCATCGTGCCCCGGTGGCCTTGGAAGCGAGCATTGCGGAAACTCACGATATCACCGGCGCGGATTTCGTCGTTCTGCTGCACGGAGGCATTCGCCAGGTTGGAGTAGACAAGGGCACCGTACGCGCGGGTCCCCACGGGACGGAGTCCGCCCGAAAGAGGCTCGAGCAGATACCGAACCAGGCCGAACGGAGTGCCATCGCCCACGGTGGTGTTTTGAACCGTCTGGACAGCGCTCGAGATGCGGGTGCCTAGCTCGAGATGCGCATTCTCGAGCTGGTCCTGACGAAGCTGAACGGGCGGGGCCTCGTGTCTCTGTTCCAAGGAGGCCTCCGCGGGGTTCCGGGGATCGTAGCTCACCGTGATCACCGTTTGCGAGTAATCGAGGAATAGAACATAAACATCCTTGGCCACCATGGCCTTGCTACCCTGCTTTGCGGCACTGGATTCTTCTATCTCGAGAAGGATGTCCTTGCGGTTCTGGAAGACTGGCGGAGGCGTATTGGGCTGTGACCACCACAGCGAGCTTTCTGCCAGGTCCACGTCCGTGGCAATATAGCTTTGGTCAGCAGAAGGACGAGTGACATCCATGGATCTCCGCATGGGCTGGCCTCGAGGCACATCTAAGGATGCACGCGTGCTCCGCGGCGTAGATGGGGATAGAACGGAGGGGATCGACGGAGGTAAAGGAGAGACAGACGCGCGTTTCGCTGAGGACGCCGCAGTCGACCTCTCCTGCGGTGGCTGCGTGGGCGACATTGTGTCATACACATCATCCGATTCTTCGTCAAGCTGCGGCTGTTTGACGACAGGAGGCAGGGGGGGCGCTCTGGTGGCAGGAAGCCCATGCAGAGGAGCCGTATATCGGTAAGGATCATACTCCTCGTCCTCATCAAGAGACTGCTCCCTGTGGGGAGGCGGAGGAGGGGGCCCCCGTGGGGAATCCAACGAGCTTCTCCCGCCGCTGCTTTTAGGGGGTTGGATAGGTGGCGGTGGCGGCACAGCTCGCGGCGCAGACGGAGGGGGATGGGGAGGAGCGCGCGACTCGCGGGGACTTCGAGGAGACTGCAGCGAATGGTCGTCGGTGATGGTACCGTCGTCGACGCTGGATTCACGGCCATGAGACTTGAGGGCATCTTTGAACTTGGCGCCAGACGCAATGTCCGTGTCATAGTCACCATCGTACTCAGTGATTTCTCCTTCAGCTTCTTCTCCAGCCTGCCGGGGTTGCGAAGATGTGCTGGGCCGGCTATCCGCCGTGGATCTACGGCGGGGAGGCCCGGGAGGAGGTGGGGGCGGAGGCCGACTTTGGACTGGCATCGGTGGGTTTGTAGGAACAGGTGGAGGGGCGCGGCTCTGTCGTTTCTCCGAAGGAGACGTCGGAGTTGGGGCATCATAGGTTGACGGGCGGCGTGAATCGAGATGGTCGGGGATTGACGATGCCAAATCGGCCTGGGCAGTGCGGTCGGCGGCGGCAGCGTTCAGCGATAGATTCCTCGCATGCACGGAGAGTTCATCGTCCGACTCGTCACCTTCATCACCGGATGTGGGGCTTCTGACTGGTGGGGGTACGGGACGGCCTAGAGCAAACGTGGTGAGTCAAGGTATGCCAATATTGTGGATATGAACCCTTGTCCGCATTACTTACCACCTGGAACTGGCGGAGGCGACGACGGATGTCCCTGAGGGACAGGGGGAGGAACAGGCCGCGTGTCCACGGGTGGAGGAGGGGGTGCGGCACGTCCTAGATCAGATGGATATCAGCCGGTGAACCTAGGTCAGACGGACGACTGCGATTGTACCTTGAGGTAGAGAAGGTGCCCGGTCCAAAGAAACGCGGCGAGGAGGCTCCGGAACGACTTCCTCAACGTCAGGGACGTCTTCCGCATGACGCTGTTGTGTAGGAGATACTTGTGCCTCCTCTTCGTCCTTCTCGACACTTGGAGCGGCTGGCTTTGCCATTCCAGGCATCGCCATAACAGGGACTGGAGGCGCAGCGGCGGGGGGAGCACTCTCGGAATCTTCAGGCTTCTTCGGAGCCTCCGAGACAGATGTCTTCGGTTTGCGAGAAGCTGCGCCAGGCATCGGCATACCACCTGGAGCACCGAACAAGCCCATCATACCCATACCGCCGCTCATTTTGGCCATTCGTTCACGGAGTTCCATCTTGCGTTTGGTCTCTGGATCCATGTCTTCTTCCGCTTCCTCCTCTTGTCCCGCTTCCTCATCATCCTGAACCTCCTGGTCCCTCTCCTCCTTCTCAGCCTTGTGCTCAGCTCCTTGAGGGATGCCATGGCGAGAACCCACTCGAGCGTGATCTTCGTAATCCTCTTTGCTCGTGGAAGACTCGTCTGCATCCTCGCTATCGACAGGCGCAGAGTCGTCCGCGTCGTTGGTATCGCTCGCCAGCTCTTGCACCGGGAGGGGGGTGGGTAGTTGTGGCGCAACTGGGGCCGTCGGCTTCACCGTCTCAGTGCTATGGTCCCGCGGCGCTTCGGCTGCCTCAGGCGTCTCGAGACCGTCATCTCCCGCCGGAACACCTTCGTCAGTCGATTCTGCACGGGGCTTGGGTGCTTTCTTCGGTTTCTCCTTCTTCTGGGCGGTCTCCGCATGGCGAGCCGCCTGCTCCAATTGTTGCTTTTGTAGGAGGGCAATTCGATCTTTCAAGCTCGTTGGCTTCGGCTGCTCTTCGGCCGCTTCGCCGGCCCCCTCGACCGGAGGGCTACGCTCGGATACCGGTGGCTCGCGCGCGACGCGCTCCTGAACGTCGGGGTCCTCCTCTCGTCGGTAAATCTTTGGTGGAGGCTCCCTAGGCGGAGGGACGTAGGCATTTTTGCTCGGGGGCGGCGCGACAAACGGCTTCTTGATGAAGCTCTGCCCGCCCAACCCGCTGGGCTTGAAGGGGGCAATAGGGGCCGCCGCAGGTTTATTGAAGGCTGCGATGCGATCCTTGAATGAGGAGCCGGTCGGCTTCTCGGTGACAGGGGGCGGCGCGGGCTTCGACGAGAGCTTCGGGGCCGGTGGCGTCGGTTCCGGCTGAGGAACCGAGGCTTGCGCCGGCGCCGGCTGCGGGACGGGTGCCTCACGAACTGAAGGCTCTTCGGCAACGGGAGAAGAGATGGGAAGTTGAGGAGCAGCTCCTGCAACTGCCGTTGGGGATTCCACTACCGCTGGCGCCGGTTCCGGTTCGGGCTCTGGGTGACGCTCAACCACGGGGCTCTCAACCGCAGCGGGCTCTGGGGGGGCCGGCGCCGGCTCGGCCTCCTTCTTGGGCCTATTTGGGCGAGTGGGTCGTGGAGGAGCAGGGGGCTCATATTTCTCCACGAAATTCTTGGGAAAGATGCCCTCTGCCTTCGCTCCGGTCTCATCCGTGTACTCGCCAAGGTACCAATCGTCATCTTCCTCCTGAACGACCGTTATGATCTGGCCGATGGAGAACGTGAGGTCGTCATCGTGGTCTGAAGTATATTCGAAGACCGCTTTGACGGTGAAGGGCGTGGCGGACATTTGGCCAAAAAGTCGCCTGGACCTGGACCCGAGGGAGCGGGGAGGGAGACGAATGAGAAAAGGCGGGGACAGGTAGCTGTCAGCGAGAGGTAGTGCCCAGCAATTCCACGTTACCAGGCGACAACCAGGGTTTAGTTATGGGACATAAGATACAAGGGATCTGGATGACACCGGTGGACGGGGATAATAATCGACCTGAGGGGCAAGAAGCCGAATGGAAGGGAATATGTCAGCCTGGTTGACGTACGTCAGAGCATGCCTCGGGGGTTCGGAACAACTCCTGTTCCCCTGAGCGGGGGGGGAGTGTTGGCTTACAGCAGTTACCGTCCACAACAGAATGGAAGGAGTGAATAACGACCAAGATGATAAAAAAAAAAGGTAAGAAGAAAGGAAAGGAGGGGTGGGTGGGGGGGGAAGATGCAGTGGGGTGGGAAAGAGAAGAGGGAACAAAGATTACGGAGTAACTATGAAGAAGGTCGAGAGAGCGAGAGAGAAAGAAGGGAGAGAAGGGGGAGATTAGTGAGGGTCAGTGACTTTTGGACGGGATTGCCAGTTGCCGTCTTTTCTCGCGGGATGGTTGACTCCACCATTGATCAGCGACTAATTACGGCCGACCAGGACTGACCATGTCATGATTGAACCTGGGTTATACAATCGATGCAGTTGTACTATATAGTAGGCTATATTTGGCTTGTTATCCAAGTTTACGATATGGAGAGTTTCTTGATTAAATTGTTTTAGATGTAACAATCTAATTACATGACGGACCCCCAAATATATCATGACACTTTGAACTCCGTAGGTAACGTTATCTCCGCCCACATTACATAATTGAGTCGTTTGTACCCATAGTACTATCTCAGCAATGTTGCTAATATCAGCCTGATTGTCGATATACCAAGCCCATACCGCTTGGCCGAAGCAAATCCAGCATTGGCAATGCTGCCCCATTCAAGTATGCGACACATTTGTCATCGTAGTCGAAGGTTACGATGTACATTTCTATCCCGCTCTGGGATACCATGACTCGTCTATATATATTGTCAGATACCGAAGCTTGAGATATAGTCGAAGAGCTATGCTTACTGCGTCTTGGTAGTGCCTGGTTTGGCGTCAGGGTATATTTTGATCCAGGCCACAAACAGCGCCACTTCTTGCATGTTAACACCCAGGGAATGGTATCGGTGCCTCTTGCGCTTGCATTCTATGATGGCTTTGATTTTCCCGGTTTCAATTGCAATTGCCCGTCAGTGACCGCATAATATTGGCACTGTTTAGCCTCCCCGGCCACAGCACCACAGTTCGATCCTTGAGGACCTCCACTGCGTATTAGTCGCCGGTACCATCATAGTGAGCGCTTGGGGAAAGCTCCAAAGTGAGCTATTGACCGCAGTCGTATCTGTGATTTGCAGTTTGTTCTTAACGACTTTGTCGCTCTTCATACTCCCACACTGCTGGAAGAGGGTGGCTTGTGATCTTGGGAGCCTTTGTCCGTGTTATTTTTGACTGAATGACTATGCATCTGGAAATCGGTGTCTGCATATCAAGTCTTGCTTGGGCCACATATAGGGTGGGATTAGGCTAGTAAATGCGATACCATGGCCTAGGTTTTCAGTTTCTGGGTTGGTGGTGGCGTCTTTCTCATTTGACTTGAGACTCGTACGAATGTATGGTTTTGTTCAGCAGTGGCGGTAGATACCGCGGCTATTTTGACTCTTATACAGTCTTAGAAAGGTAGATCAAAGGTCCTAAGTGCCATGGTGATCTGCACCGGTTCAAATTGGCTCTACCTAGATGTATGGGCAAATACCGATGAAAACAATCAAATTCTTGATGATGCAGATGAGGTTGGCCCTTGGAGAAGCGTTCAGACTGTAAGGAGGAATGGAAAGAGATATTTGCAGAATATACGGCAGTCCTAAGAAAACCACAATATCAGGTGACATGTGCGATGGAATGCAGTCACTGATTCTACAAGTCATGGGTGAAGATTAGCTACCTATTGGAGACAATATATGGAAACATGGGCGCTTTGGTCTATGGATAGGACGAGGGAGAACGGTGTTGGAATCCACAGCCTATATTACTCGTAGCTTTCATACTAGGGTTGAATTCTAGTGATACTGACACAACCGTGATAATGGAATCATGTTGAATTCAAAGTAAATAAGCTTTATGATTGTATAACGTTGCAGGAATTACTCCTCAGCTACTCAGGATACAACACAACTTTCCCGCTTCGTAAGTAATCTTATGTTCAGTGCAACAAAAGACAGCCCTGCAAGTCTAGTTTTCATATAATCTCTCTTAACGGCCTGCTCATCAGAAAACGCGCAAAATGGTCCCAGAGCGCAGTATCCGTCTTCTTAAAGCTAAAATTCCCGGACTGCCGGATAACAAGCCTCTCGCCATCCATGCACGCGTAAAACAAGCGCCCATGCCTGGGTCCCACGAACGACAGCATAAGGACCGGGAATCTCCTTTCCGTGGCGAAGTCCAGTGGCATGCTGTTTGATACGTCTTCTGAATTATGAGAGGGCTTCCTGAGTCTCTTCGTCGCTTCTGTCAACCTTGATGTGGTTGGCACGATTTCGCATCGCCCATAATATGAGGGCAAGCTCGCCAAAAATCATAGTGTCGTCCTTGGCATCGAAAGACTAAATGACGGTACAGAGAATGTGAGGGAGGCGTTGGCCATTATCATTTACACAGCCAATCACGTAGTCGCTGTATCACGAGGCACCGTCGGTAAAGTAGGTGCCGGTCCATTCACCATCACGTAGAACAAAAGGATCGGGTCGCCTGGATAAACAATTGTCGGTGTTCTGTACTTTTCTTTCTTTTCTTCTTAGAAACCTTACCCAATTAGCTCGAGATGTTTCGGACCAGTATCGAAACCCCACATCGGTTCGAGCCCATGTCGTGGAAAACCCATGGCCCACATCTCAACACGTGCGGCTACCCTACTAGAGCACCGGCCAGGTTCAAACCAAAACTGGCTGATTCCAAATGGCAATGGGTTGATTGGATGCTCTTGAAAGAATCGAGGAGGGAGCGGGCAAAAAAGAAATGGAGGGTCCTGTTGGAGTTTGATCGACTCGTCATCCAGGATGTCCGAGTCACAGGATACACGATGTATGCCGTATTGGAGGTTTTGGTCATTGACCTCTTGTTCCGTCTCCTCGTTTGTAGAGACGGGAATCCGATGCTCAACGACTAGCTGGTCGTACAGAGCGTTGATTTTGGCGCGTTGCTCATTGATCGTCATTTTGCTAGCGTAGAAGAGAAAGCAGGCAAGATACCGCAACAAAAGAAGAGGGATTGCCGCTTGACTTGATTCAGTGCGACACAAGGTTCCGAAAGAGGAGTGGTGGGAGGAAGATTAGAGACTGGCGAGCAGTTGAGATTCAACTTGCAGTCATCAGGCTGAACCAGTGGACCCAAAGGCAAGGCTGCCAGTGAATATCTGAAGATCGTTTTGCATAAAGATTCCTAAATGAGTCAACCAATTCAATACGATACTAAGCTCAAGTTGTTCGTAGTGAACTATATCTTGCCCACTTGCAGTCGACCACGCATGCCAGTGGATCTCAATTGCTATTCCTCTTGTATACAGAGTGACCTGACATAATTGGGAGACTCTCCCATTTGCTAGTGAAATCTATTAGATAGCACCATACTCCATGGACATTCCTGACGTGCGTGTGCGAGTGGGTGATAATGTAGATTTTGGCCTTTGAAACCGAGGCCATTGTGCCCCGCGTAGCATTGTCGCAGGGGCTCAAAATCGAACCAAGAGTACACGACAGCGATGAAAGAGCACCATAGATGTAAAATACTCATTAACACCAAAACTTCAACGGTGACAACGAAATGCTATCAAAGAAGAGACCACTGATACTCAAGTTTGGTTGAGTCGAAGGACTCCCGATAAAGAGCAAGGCACTGACTGTGGCAGGGTGAATAACCCCATTTGTTAGACCTAAAGGAGCATATGTAGTATGAGGTGAATGAGTGAAAATAGCATCCGAAATATCTTTCATACGCCGGAAATGTACTAGCAACCTTCATGAATGGTGGATGGGGATGAGTTCATTGTCGAGGCTCTTTGTGTTGGGGTGACCAAACAGGCAAGTGGATACCTCAGGTGCGACACACGCCTTTTGTCTGGGGGTCTCCTCACGCGCCATGAATCTGGTTTCCTCCCAGGAGTCCATCCACAAAGAACACTCCCTGACGATGGGTCTATAAATTCAAACATTGATTCCCTGTACTGCAATCCGGTCTGCAAACCATGTCCGATATCCCTACCGCATCCTGCTTCAACGATAACGGCGGTATTCCTACCGCGACCTGCTTCAACAATAAAGGCGTGACATTTGACGACCAAGGTCAAATGATAATACCCACCATGTCGACCTCCATCCCCTACACCCTCGACATCGCGACAGTGCTCTGCGTCCTCTTCGCCCTCTCCTTCATGCCCATTGCCTACTTCCTGGGCAATCGATATATTCCCGCCACGCACAAGCAATTCCGCATCCTCTTCTACTGGCACGCCTACGATGCCCTCACCCACCTCTTCATCGAGGGCTCCTTCCTCTTCGAGTCCTTCTTCAGCTACATGAAGATCCCCGGCGGCATCGGCGGCGCACCACACTTCCTGGGGCGCCAGGACCGCGTCTACGGCGCCGCCTTCGGGACGTGGCCGAGCGCGCGGCTCTGGCAAGAATACGCCAAGGCCGACTTCCGGTGGGCGACGGCCGACGCGAACGTCATCTCGCTCGAGCTCCTGACGGTGCTGCTGGCGGGCCCCGCGGCCGTCTACATCTGCTACCTGCTGTGGACGATGTTCAACGCGCGGACGAACACGGAAGCCAAGGGCGACGCCCGGGCGAAGCTTTGGTTCGCTGCCACGACGGTGGCTACGGCGGAGCTGTACGGGGGGTGGATGACGTTTGCGCCGGAGTGGCTGACGGGCAGCACGAAGCTCGAGACGGGCAATATGGTGTACCTGTGGTTCTACCTGTTCTTTTTCAACACGCTGTGGGTGGTGATGCCGCTTTGGGTGCTGCGCGAGGCTTGGAGGGAGTTTCGGGAGGTTTTTGTCACGGCGGAGCGCGCTGGTCGCGGTCGCAAGAAGGTGTAGATCGGGGAATGGGTGAGTGGATGATGGGATATGAGGACAAGGCTTAATGAAAGTTTTGAGTAAAGTGGAGGTTGGGAGGGGGGTGAATGATTTGAGGTTTATAGTCTTTCAGCGATCAGTGCTCGTCATTGTTATAGATTTGCTTTATTTGGATAGTCACAATTGAAATTTCCCAAATCGGGTATCATTTCGCATCTTCGAACCCTGATCAGTCGATAGGTATGAGGCATGTTGGTACCAACAGGGCGCGGTCAAATCCGCGACAGCATTACTAGTCGGAATGCGTCCCCAGTAGTTGGTACTCGGGATGTATACGTTCTCGTCTCAATGGTAGTCTCTCTCTTCCTCCCCCCACCAATATGTTCTTTATTTGCTGCGAATATTAGAAAGTCCCGAAATATCAACATATTACAACCCCTCTTCCCAACACAAAAAAGTGTGGTTCAGTGATGGCATAACAATACCCTAGGTAGTGCATTCAGCCACAGTATTTGGCTGTTGACTGCCGTTCTATAAATGGGAATTCACCGAAAGGAGTACGATCGACCAGGCAATCTCCAGTACCGAACTCCTGGACTTCTCCTGGACATAATTCCTTGGCGTCTCGTGTGGCTCCCTTCACTATTGGCAGCTTCACGAGAGCCCATCGTCATCATGAGCACACTTCAACCAATTGGAAGATACTCTCTCCACCACAGTGGCTCAGCCTTACTGCCAAGCCACAGATTCCGAGTGATGCCTGGGGTGGCGGGGCAGGACCGCGGACTGTGACAGGCAGGAACGGGTGGGTTCCTCAGGTATGCACTGCACCGATCTGACGCATGCCTGTTCCTTCATCCTGGCATTAACGCCCCCCACCTGCTTATATTCTTTCTCTCCGTGTCTGCCCTGTTGGCTTTAAAGTCTTGACATCCCCCCTCTATCGTTACCACCGGTCTATCTTTACCACTCTTGATCACTCCTTTTCTTACATTCATATTGGAAACCACAGAACAAGAATTGTCTCGTCAATACATCACTCTTGCGAGTCGCTAGCCATGTCGTACAATCCATACCCCCCTCCCAACCGTATGTCTTACCTCCACATCCCTCCATCAGAGCACACCAATGCTAACGAGATCTCCATTACAGAGGGCCCATACCCACCATACGGTCATCAACAGGGCTACCAGCCTCCGCACCCAGGTTATGGGACTCCCCCTCCCCAGAACAACTACGGTCGTCCTCCACCACCGCCTCCACAGGGTGGTTATGCTCCCCAGGGCTATCCCCCCAACCCAGGATATCCTCCTGCCCACCCGCCACCATCGCACTCCCCATATGGTGCTCCGCCAGTAGGGAACCCCTCGCCGCAACCGCCATACCCTCCGCAAGGCTACTCTGGATACCTCCCTGGTCCACCGGGTCCGCCGGGTCCAGGAGGCTATGGTGGTCCGCCTCCCCCTGGACCGGGCTATCCGCCGCAACCGCCCGCCTTCCAGGCGCCTCCGTCGTTCCCTTCCCCCGGTTACGTACCTGGTCAAATGGCTCCCGGTGATTGGCGTCCGCAGGCGGACCAGCTGCGCAAAGCGATGAAAGGATTCGGCACCGACGAAGCAGCCCTCATCAGGGTGCTCCAGAACCTCGACCCGCTCCAGATGGCTGCCGTCCGCAGCACCTATGCAAGCCACCTTAGACGGGATCTGTACAGGGACGTCAAGTCCGAGACGGGTGGCTACCTCCGGCAAGGCCTGCTCGCGGTGCTCGACGGCCCGCTCAACTACGACGCGCAGTGCGTCCACGAAGCCATCGACGGCCTAGGCACCAAGGAATGGCTACTCGACGACGTCCTTCTTGGCCGATCCAACGCCGACATCACCGCCATCAGGAACGCATACCAGCAGATATACCGCCGCTCGATAGAGAAGGACGTCGAAGGTGACCTGTCCTTCAAGACGTCGACCCTGTTCGTGGACGTGCTGCGCGCCACCCGCCACGAGGAGGGAGCCCACATCGACCCCCACACCATCGAATCCGAGGTCAAGACGCTTCACGACGCCATGAACGGCCGCATGATCAACAACATCCAGGAGGTCTGTGGCATCCTGGCCCGATCCTCGGACAACGAGATCCGCGCCATCAACCAGGCCTACACCGCGCGGTACAACACCCCGCTGGAGAAGGCCCTCACCAAGGAGTTCTCGGGCCACATGAAGGACGCCCTGCTGCAGATGCTCCGGACCGCCATCGACCCCGCCATGCGCGATGCCGAGCTCCTCGAGGACTGCATGAAGGGCATGGGCACCAAGGACGAGAAGCTGGTGACCCGAGTCGTGCGTGTGCACTGGAACCACCACCATCTGGACCAGGTGAAGCGCGCTTACCAGCACAAGTACAACAAGAGTTTGCTCGATAGGGTCCGCGGCGAAACGAGTGGAGATTACCAGAAGTTAATGCTTGCTCTGTTGGAGTAATTCGCTTCCCTTCTCCCTTTCACTTTGTGCTTTTCTAATTGTTGGCTTTCTCTTCGCTTCTTGTGGATATTCTTTACTTTTAATCGTTTTGGCTGCCCCTTCCCTCTCCCTCATACATTCTGAGTACCTCCCTTCGTGATATGGCTCCCTCGATACCCCTCAGACTGGCATTCACGTTGGGACGGCCTGTTTTAATCCCTTCATATTCCCCTTTATTCTTCCCTTCCCTCCATCTCTGTTATGTCATGTTACGGTTACCGAAGAAGCGTGTACGAATATCGATATGCAGATGCAGTGTTCCAGTATGATAATATTAAGTTGATTTCCAAGAACATAAGTAAAATAACGTAAATAAAGACATAACTATGCAAATCATCCAGCTCATCCCATCTCGTAAAATCATACGGCATCATCGTTTATATCATAGAGAGAATATGATGAGTAGATAGATAGAGTACACCAAGTGACTGAAACGATCATCATCAACTACGATATCAAAAGGGAAAAAAAGTAGGGGGGGGAAAGAAAAGAGAGAGAAGAAAGGAAGAAGAAAGCAGACATGGACCATAGACTCAAACATTTCACATAAATGTAAAGGAAACAAAAAAAGACGGAAAGGAAGAAAACAAGTAAACCCTCAGTAGGCACTTTCGACAACCGCTCGAAAGTCAACAAAGTCAACTAAGCCACCTCCTCCACAACAGAAACATGGCTCCCAGGAAACAGCCCCGTGATTCCCGCATAGCACCCCCAGAACCAGTCGTCGTTGATATTCTCCGCCTCTGTGATCTCCGCTCCCCGCGGGAACATCAGTTCGTCTTTGACCCCGTCTTCTGGGTACCAGGGCCAGATGGCGAGAAGGATGAGCCCGACACCGCCGTCGGGGGGGAAGCGGCGGGAGGATGATGGCGATTTGTTGTTGTTGTTGTTGTTGCTGCTGCTGATGCTGTTTCCCTGGGCGGTGGGCATGACAGGGGTGCCTGGTTCGGAGGCGGAGTTGTAGTTGTAGTTGTCGTTGTTGCCGTTCGGGGCGTAGTTGGACCGGTGGAGGAGGTCGGTGGGATTCCGCGCGCGGGAGGCTTTCTTGCGTCTCTCGGAGCCCTCTTTCCAGCTCCAGTCGCCTTTGCCGAGCTCTGGGGAGGGTACTGCGTTGGGGCCGGTGGGTATTGTTAAAAAGGAGTGGTGGGTTGGGGATGATGATGATTGGGAGGAGCGGTGCTGGTGGACGTGTTCGTCTTTTAGGGCTCGGCCGCCGACGAGATCGCGCACTATCACCCGTCGTTGGCCCTCTTCGAAGTCCTCGAATCCTATTACCACCATCCGGTGGCCTTTGAAGCAGCGGCGCCAGCCGTTGTGGCCGTTCTCCTTGTGGATTTTGCCAGAAGCTACAAACTTGAGGTAGCAGTTTGCGCAGATGTCGTAGTCGCCGCTGTTGCAGCGGAGACAGTGGAAGCGGAGAGTCGAGGCTGGGATGGGATTTGAGCACATGTCGCAATTGGTTGAGAAGGAGAGGATTTTGTAAGCTTCTGTTCCCGGAGCAGCTAGGGGGCTGCTCAGGGCGTCAGACGCAGCGCTTGGGACGGCCGAAGGTGTCGATGGGTCAGAGCGGTTGCCAGCTGATGAGATGCGACAGACGGGAAGAAGTGCGTGCGTGCAGCATCGTCCCTGATTGACGCACTTGTTGCAGAAACCCCAGTCCCCTTCGTTGCACTGGCCACATTTCCAGAAGCAGTCGTTCGATGGGGAGCGGCAGATGTCGCAAAAGAGTCCGGTTTGCATCCTACGAGCGGGGTCGTCGTTGGTCACCTCTTTGCCATCTCTTGTCGTGCGCTGTGCAGAAGCTGACGGTGGGCGGTATTTGAAAGACAGCAGCATATGCTGAGAAGCGCACGATGACGTTGGTTGGCCATTCGCTGAAGCACGTATCCGCTCGAAGTCTGCGCTTGCTGACGCCCCGAAGCCCATCCAGTTGAGACAGCCACGCCCTAGGCGATAGCACCGTAGACATAGATGGAAGTTACCATCGTTGCATTGTGTGCACTTCTTGTGGAGGTCATGTTGGATATTTTGTTTTCCGCATCGGTCGCATGAGATTGAGGGCTCAGTATAGGATGCAGAACGCGGAGCGTTGGACCGAGACGATGACGGCCTGGAGCGTGGCTCCTGTCGCACCGGACCACCCACCTCGGGAGTCAGAGAGCTAGTTGTAGAGGTACTTGCCATAATCTGCTCGACCCGTGTAGGGAAAGAGGCGGTCTGTGGGCTCTCAGTGGGGGTTGCAACTGCGTGAGGCGAGTCTATTGAGGGTCTGTTTCGGGTATGCCGCAGATCACGGTCACTAGATCCTCCCGCCCAAGGATTTGGAGCACCTTGCTCGGATGCTGTAGCACGTCGTGGTCGCGGGGCAGTTGCATCCGTCAGGCTTGGTCGTGCAGAGTGAGAGCCGTGGGGGCGATCAGCAACCATATCGCTGGAGGATCGTGTCGCCGGTCGTAGAGCTACATCAGAAGAAGACGCCGGGTTGACTGGCACTGGCGATGTCCTGCGACGGCCGTGCCCTTGATCGGATAGTCGCCGCTGGTGACCACTTGCCCCAGACCGGGATACTAATGGTTCCAGCAAGTGTGGCCGAGAAACCGGGGGGTTGCGTGGTGACTCCCGGGGGCTCGTGACGGTCGGTCTCCGCTCTGATTGTGATTGTGCGCGCGAACGGGTAGTCGTCCTTGGCGGTTCACTGTCTTCCTGTCTCTGTTGAGACCGCGATCGAAGTCTGTGGCGCCGACGGTACGCATCAGCGATGCGTTCGCTCAGCTCTTCCTCCTGTGAAGGACCTAAGTTCTCCAAATCGATATCTTCCAAAAGGCCTTCTTCGAATATTTGTCGCAGAATCTCCTCTTCCATGGTTTCCGTATCTGACAAGCTCAGCAACGATCGAATACTCGACTGGTGCTCGATCCTTCTTGCGTTGTTCGAGGGAATATCCGGACGGTTGGCCGATCGCCCAGTCTGTCGCCCTGCTAATCTCTCTTCTCTCCGTCGTCGAGACCGGTCTTCTCTTTGTCCATCTCTTCCCGCACTCTCCGGTATCCGACTCCTTGACGACGGCGCACTCGGGCTACGATTTTCTCGTAGACTCAGCTCCTGGACCTCCTGGAGCAACCGTCGATCTTCGTTGTCCGAGGCACTCGGTGCCTGTTCTGAAGCATCCACCGGAAATACAGAACCGCCATGTTTGTAATGCTGAGCGATTTCTTCTTTTTCTTCCAAAGGCTTGCTGCGATCCGGATTTGCCGCCAGGACCATGTCCAGCAACGTTGTGATTTTCGCATTAGGCCGTGTTTCACGGACGATGGCGCGACATGACGGACAGGTAAATCGGGGAGAGGATCGGCGGCGCGACGCTTGGGCCTTGAACCATTCTTTCAGACAGGAGCCACAAAAGATATGGAGACAGTCAAGGAGAGTGAGAGGTTGATATAGTAGTTCGGTGCAGATCTGTAGGACAAGCGGTAAAGTCAGCAAGAATCATGTAGCATCCTGTCGCAGTATGTTGCGTTCCCGGCCATCTCTCATTTCCCAATATATTTATAAACTTCATAAAAATATATATTAGATAGACTATTTGCCTTTCAACATCCCAAATCGAAGCAAGGACCCAAGGGAAAGCATCGCGGGGAACCAATCCTTCACGAACGGACGTCCCCACGTTCATCCGCCCGATCGGAAAATTAGGGAAACGTCAAGTACATACCGAGCAGGTGAGTTCTTTCTCCAGGTCACCCAGACCAGGACCACTCTGTAGTTCAGACTCCATGAGGAGTTCAGAGGTTGATTATTACCGGGGGGCGAACACAGACGAAGATGCAGGCGAGGTGGCAAGCCTGATGCAGGAGGTCAAAAGGGCGAGTACCAGTAGGAAGTACGGAGTAAACAGCGGAGAGAGTCGGTGGGTTCCATGGGGGTCGATTCGATCTCACGCTACGGCCCCACCTGGGTGCATCATTCCGAGGCTCTTCCTGACTATGCCTCCCTACACGCTGGCATTCTTATTCTTATTGTCATCAAACAAAAATATTCTTTGACTTGAGCCATTCGTTACACGTGGTATGGAGTCAGAGTTGATTCATATTACTTGTTGGCATGTCTAGTGGGACAAATAATACTGAGACGCTAGATCGACTGAATGACCTCATACTTCCTAGATCTCACACACTAGTTCCTTGAATTGTCGCTGGCTCGTGTCCTCGATTTCGGTCCTCATAATCTGGTATGCCCCATCGGTACCGAGTTTAGATCAACAACCCCTCCTATCAATTTGATTATGGCATATCACCGACATCTTCGGAATGGGATAGGGCGACAGAATCAAAGGAAGGCATCCCTGTTTCTTCAAGACGTGCGTAACATTTCTGAGTAATACTCTCATGAGCATCTAAATCTGTGTCTCTTCTAGATCCTCGCAAGGCGCAGTAGTTGCACATTGGAAATGTTAGCGAAAGGCTGCCCTGCTATAGGCCATCGCCATATCTTCATGGATCCAATGTGTAACCTTAGGAGAAACTGGGTTACTTCTATCTTTCTAGAGGCTCAGCACTTTTGGCTGGATCATGAATGATGACGCCAAGGGGCAGCTGAAGGAAGACTTGTTAGTTATATTTTTGACAACCACACTCTGGTGATATCATTGGCATTGTTTACCGGGTCCCATGGTCATATCTGCTGACTTCCTAGGTCGTTGTGCTGATCGGGCGATCATATTGGGATATCATCAAGTACTGCCGCTAAACAGCCCGTTTGTCTTTTAATATGTGCGGCGGCCACCTGGGAACCGATCAACCTGTTTTTGAGCCAATGCACACGCTGAACATCGAACTGAGATTCGAAGTAGTATTTTGATTTACTGAAATCTCACATGGCATGTGGGAATGCTAAGTGTACGGTCAGTTTGGGAGCAACGGCTACAGATCGAAATTTCTTGCAGGTATATATCTGAAGATTTGATTCAAAACAGAAGAACTAGGGGAGAGGGGACGGGTGACACAGTTCCGTTCGAGCCATAGAACTGAGTTAAACCAAGTCATCCAAATTATTCATCCTCGCAAACCGAGTAGACCTTTGTTTATACCATTATACCTCCTGGTTTCGATTTCCCAGTCCCTACTGGAACCCCATACTTCATTTCAGATAAAGATCGAACGTAATAGTGAGATGTCAATACAACAGCAAGAATCATCATCGATGTCTCGCAGGTTTTCATAATCGGGACGAATGAAAATACAACTCTTCTTCCTCTCTTTTCTGTTCTTTTCTTCTCTGGTTAGTCTGACTCAAATTTTCAGCCCAAGAGCTTGGGATAAGGTCTTCAGATTTCATTGGAGCCAGAAGAGCCGCAGACACCATCTCACTGTTCAAATTGGGATGGTGTCTTTTGTATGAATTGAATACGAGCGTAGTGTAACCTAATTTTCAATCCTGATACCAGTGCGTTGGAATGATAGGAATATAGGCTTGGACGATCTTGGACACACACTACCAAAAGATTTATCCAGCAGGCCTATGGAGTGAGTGACAACTGGGCGATTTCTCCCAGTATGTCTTTGAATGCTACTTATTTATCCAGTGAACCCTGTCGAATTTCCTTGATTGCCGTATCCGTCGAAGATATTGTAACGTCCTCGGAGAAGGGGAAATGATTATCAGTTTGGAAGCAGAAAGGCACGGATAATCTCTGTTGGAAGACTCGATCAAAAAAATAAATAAATAAAGGCAGTGCTTCTATATGGGTTAATTAGCTAGCAAAACAGGGCGATCCTTAATTTCAAGCGTTCTATATTCATAGTTTGAGGTATTCTCAGTTGTTGTTCATCTAATCGGACGTGATGAGGACGTTTCTGATTATGTAACAACCCTAACATTCTCTTTCACACACAGAAAATGGTTTCGATTTCCAGTTCCTAATCTTGTCAAATGCCAGCTGATTGCAATTGAAAGTCATAACAAACCGACAAAGAGAATCAGCGGCATCAGAGACCTCCGCGGAAAGAGTGGGGCATCTAGAATTGAGTGAAGACGAATGATACCCTAGTGTATACAGACCCACTTGCAGCATATCAGCCAACACGTGACGCGGAGATAAGTTTTTTTTTTTTTTTTTTTTTTTATAACTCAAACAACCAGCAACCTCGTTCCGCGCAACCCCTACAACAAAATCCAGCTTCGTATTGATTGAATATACGTTGAGATTTTCACCGATCTCTAGTATTCAGCATACGGATTTGCCTTTTCCAGAATGGCCCCAAACACGAAACGGCGCAAAGTTGAGGACGATGCTTCGTCCGACTCCGGCTCGGACGCTTCTGCTTCTCCCTCTCCCGAACCTCAGCCCCAAGCGGACAACGGCAACGAAGCAGTGAAGACTTTTAGCGACCTCGGCATTATCGAACAGCTGTGCGATGCATGCACAGCCCTTGGATACACCAAACCCACGCCGATTCAAGCGCAGGCAATCCCGACCGCGTTAGAAGGGCGAGATATCATCGGACTGGCAGAAACCGGTAGCGGCAAGACAGCAGCCTTCGTTCTCCCGATCCTCCAAACCCTCATGGAAGCCCCTCAGGCCTTCCACTCGCTCATCCTGGCCCCGACCCGTGAACTCGCCCAGCAAACCGCGCAAGCCGTCGAGGCTCTCGGCTCCCTGATCTCGGTACGATGCACACTGTTAATCGGAGGCGTGGACATGGTATCGCAGTCGATCTCGCTCGGAAAGAAACCACATGTCATTGTCGCCACGCCAGGCCGTCTGCTGGACCACATGGAAAACACAAAGGGGTTCTCGCTGCGGCAGCTGAAGTTCCTCGTCTTGGACGAGGCCGACCGTCTCCTGGACCTGGACTTCGGGCCCATCCTCGACAAAATCCTCAAGATCATCCCGAAGCCCAACCGCCAGACCTACCTCTTCTCCGCGACCATGTCCAGCAAGGTCGAGTCGCTGCAGCGCGCGTCGCTGACGAACCCCGTGCGGATCTCCATCTCCAGCAAGAACCAGACGGTGTCGACTCTGGTGCAGTCGTACGTGTTCATGCCGCACAAGTTCAAGGATCTCTACCTCATCCACATCCTCAACGAGCACGCGGGCCAGACAGGCGTGATCTTCACGCGCACCATCCACGAGACCCAGCGCCTGACGTTCATGCTGCGCAACCTCGGCTACGGCAGCATCCCCATCCACGGACAGCTGTCGCAGAGTGCGCGCCTGGCGTCCATCACCAAGTTCCGCGCCCGGGCGCGCAACCTGCTCGTCGCCACGGACGTCGCGGCGCGCGGTCTCGATATCCCCTCCGTCGACTTCGTTCTCAACTACGACCTGCCGCAGGACAGCCAGACGTACATTCACCGCGTGGGGCGGACAGCGCGAGCGGGACGGAGCGGGCTGGCCCTCTCCTTGGTCACGCAGTACGACGTGGAAGTGTGGCTGCGGATCGAGAAGGCGCTGGGCAAGAAGCAGGATGAGATGAAGATCGATAAGGATGAGGCAATGGTGTTCGCGGAGCGGGTCGGCGAGGCGCAGAAGGCGGCTGCGATCGAGATGCGCGATCTCCAGGAGAGGGGCGGGCGGGGGCAGATGCGTGTCCCGAGGGGGGGCAAGAGGTCTAGGGAGGATATGGACCAGGACCGGGGTTAAGGGGCTGAATGAAGAATAAGAAAGCAAAAGTTTAAGCGGGACTTAATATGGATTGATACTTTATGTTAGATGTCGAAATTTTAGTTCTCCATACAGAATGCCATGTATGAGTACGAGGTACGAGTTCCATGAGTATTAACCTCCCAATCTTACATTAAGGCAGAGTTGTTGTTGTATATATGGCGTAAATAAGCATTCTGCATTAGCTCTACCGGTAGACTTCCATTGAAGGGCAGAGGAGTGATCTCCACTACTCAGCATCGTGCGTATGGACGGTGGAAGAGCATAAACTCCCCTCCCCTCGCTCTCTTCTCCCGCCGCCCCCCTTCACTTCTACCGCCTTGCTATATACAGTATCGTTACTCGTAGGCCAGCATCCCATCCGTAGCTGAGTGTAGACGCCACTTCTTTGCAGACAGCCTTATTCGTGTCTGCGTGAAAAACATAAACCGTGAGAATGGCAGACGAAAATGAATTAGACTCAATGCATTTCTTCAAGGCATCGTGTGTTTGGAGAACGAGGACTTGCAGAACCCCTGTATATGCGAGTTGTAAAAGTCCATAAGTTGTTACCGCATCGGACAGCGATACATGGTCGGCGGAGAGATCTTTGCGTCGTTCGATGAGAGGATGGTGGATGTTGCTGCTCATAGAATGATTGTTAGTTAGCAATTTATACTGCTTGTTGATGGGGTCTAGGGAAGACTCGTAAGGTATATTTCAAACCTTGGATGCTGAACTCATGTCTTCAGCCTAGGAAGAGACGCCGTTGATCTAGACAGGACCATACTGCATGAACTGACCTTGGAGATAAACTATGGTGTTCTCGACGGAGATAATGTTAAGAGACAGGGGCTCTTGACAGGTAGTAGAAACGTGGTTGGCCTTTATAAGGGGAAACATCTCCTAAACTGCTGTTGAGTACTGCAATCAATCATTGTTATATCACTGCGTTGCAGACATCCGAAGATCAACCGATTAGCATCATATTAGCGACAACAACGGACGACGAGTTCGGGGACAGGAGTGAGGTTTGCGAGCCATTTGAAATGAGGCAACAGAGAAAACACGGATGAAACTTGAAGTGCTCGAGGAAGGGACAAACATTGAACATTTGACCGTTGAAAGCGAGTCAAAATGTAAAAATCTTATAATGTCCACGATATAATCTTCCTCTCCTGCAGCAGAATAAGCCGACCAACTCTCGTTATTCTGGAATCAAAACTCTTTGCAGGATGCATGCATAGGCGCTAGATGGTATCATGTCGTTCCTCGACTTCCTACACCTGTCTGATTGCATAGCGATTGGCGTATGTCGCAGTCAAGAGTATACCCC